GCTGCACGGAATTTTAAACACACATAGAGCTCAATGAGCTGTACAAAAAAGTCAGCGCGGCCGATTTCCTACAACGTACAGGAAACCGGATATTTCCAGCTGTTCGGGCAGTTTGTCGCGTACCCCCCACGCCAAATTCATCAAGTCTGTAAGATTTTGTCTGATCGCCACGAAATTTGCACCATACAATCTTAACTCCGAGGGGAATAGAAATTTAGAACTTTTTCAAAACTTGAAAAATGTGGCCACCAGGGGCCGCCAAAAAAACATGAAAAAATTTGTTGTTGCAGCTCCACGAAATTTTACACACTCATAGACCTCACTGAGACGCACGGAAATTCACCATTCGCGTTTCTCGAAAACGTACGTGCAACCGGATATTCGCGGTTGTTCGGGCACTTTTTTTCATTCGCATAGGTTTTTCAAAGCTTTTAACTCTTTTGTATTTTGTCCGATCAACACCACATTTGCTCACACCAACCAACACGTCATGGAAAATATAACTTCTGAAGGTCGTTTGCAAATATTGAGCAATTCGGCCTCCAGGGGCCGCCAAAGTCACCTGTTTTGTTCCAGTTGATAAATGGCTATATTTCTGTCATGTTTTCATCTATCAGCCTCAAAAATTCTGGGACAAAAAAAATAACCACAATGAAGGAAAAAATTATTTTCCTTCATTGTGCCCCCTGGTGGTGCAAGAAAATGTGTGTTTTTACGCCTGCACCTTCAGCTCAGGCTGTGTTTCTCCGACTGGTGTCAAACCAAGACCAGAATACTCTGAACACTTTGAAGTTGCTGCAAAATGAATATTTTGACTCCTCATCAAAGGACGTGGCCATGGCGGTGCTTTGAAGTCACATGACGCCACAGTACAATTTTCATGACGTTTCCTCTCAGCACGCCAAATGGCCGCCAGCTGTTCATTTTTCACGCTTGCCACCTAGCTCAGGCTGTGTTTACCGACTGGCATCAAACCACAACCTGAATACTCAGCGAACATTAAAGTCGTTGCACAATGAAAATTGTGACTCCTCCCCAAACGGCGTGGCCGCGGCGCTGCAGCAAAGTCACGTGTTTTGGCGTGCCAACTAATTTGGCTGTAACTCGGCCAAACGTGCTCGGACCTTCACCAAAACTTAGTATGTTGATAATGGTCTGGCCCCGGATGCATCAACACCAAGTTTGGCTCTGTATGTGACAGCGCCACCTAGCTACAACACTAAGTATTGCAGGTCACATTGAGGTAGACTTGACACGTGAAGGAGGACGACTGTGTTTTTTTCTCGCTCTAGGTGCCAGAAGGTCGCGTGTGGAGTGAGGGGCGTGGCCATGGCAACGCGGCGAACGACCACTAGAGGAGGGCGACGGCCGGGTGAGGCGACAGCCGGGGCGCGACAGCGACGCAGGGAAGCGAGAGCTGGAGCGTGAGGCGACGGCCGGAAGGGGCCCACCAGTGCCCCACCGGGGCCCTAATTTATTTTGTTGTTCAGTCAGTCAGTGGCCCTGTTTACATGGGTCCAGAAATCCTATTTACAATCAGATTGAAAGGTCAATCAGATTCAAAATGTCTCATATAAACACCTGAGCCAATCTGATTCACCCAGATCTGATTGTATTTCGGGTCGGATTGTAAGAGGTAGTCTACACCGATTGATAATCCACTCCATGCTCCCTATATACGTCTGAGTGGAGCGGATTGGGTTTACAGAGAGGCTTGTTTGGTCTGCGCAGGCGCTCGGTAGTACGTAAGAGGCACGTAGTGACGTACGCAGAGCGCGCCCAAACGAAAACAAACATGGCGAACAAACAGAAAAACTGGACGGTGGAGTGTTAAAGTGTGTTGTTTCAAGTGACTGACGAAGCGTACACTTCTTGCTGTGTAACCCGGCTGGATTATACTTTTAATAAACTTCAACACATAGGGTTCCTTACTCTGCTCGGTCTGGTAACTCCGGCGGTGTCACACACAAACACATCCGTGCGCAACTCTAAAACGGAACTAAAACAATGGTTCCTATTAACAATTTCCATTGATACAATACAATACAACTAGATTCAGCTGGGGCCATGAAAACGCGGACTGAACGTGGATCTCTTTACTTAAAGTTCATGTATGCAGATGGATTCAGATTCACTTAATCCGATTGATTTCAATCAGATTGAGGAAAACTACCCATGTAAACAGGGCTAGTGGAGGCCTATACTTGAAAGCATGTTCAGCCAGCTACTTCTATTCTAAATGTTAACCTTCATGTTCAGTGTGTTCAATGTATACTGCACTAAAAATGAATGTGTTGAAATGAATTTTGCACTGAAATAAGTTGCACTAAAGGTACAGTGTTGAAATACATTGATGATTGTTGCTGTTTTTTGTCTTCACCTCAATATTCATAACGTTGCTCCCAGAATTCATATTGCTAATCGATAGTATAAGGCTTATATGTAAAATATTCACACTACGATGAGAGAGCATTTAGAAGCTATGCTGGAACTTTTGAAAGTGATCATAACTAGCCTTTGATACAAGGATGTGCATGCACACGCACACACACACACACACACACACACAAACAAAAACACACTGCACAGGTCAAGCAGAACTATATTCAGTCCGTCTAATGGTTGATACAACACAGTATCCCACTGGTCACAATTGTGACTGATCATAAAACACACTTTTTCACACACTTTTCCATAAAAATTTCTAAAAATTATGATTGATTATTTCAAAGGGATACTAATGACACATTATTTGGATATTTTTGTGTCTGGTAAAAAATTGGGATTAGATGGGTTAATGTTACAGTGTTAGTGTTACAGCGTTAATGTTGCAGTGTTAGTGTCACAAAGTTAGTGTTACAGCGTTAATGTTGCAGTGTTAGTGTCACAGTATTAGTGTTACAGCATTAGTGTTACAGTGTTAGTGTTACAGCATCAGTGTAACAGTCTTAATGTTACAGCGTCAATGTTACAGTTTAAGTGTAACAGTGTTAATGTCACAGTGTATGTTTTACAGCGTTTGTGTTACAGTGCTAATGTTAAAGTGTGAGAGTAACAGTGTTAATGTTACAGCATCAGTGTTTCAGTGTTAATGTTAAAGTTTTAATGTTACAGTGTTAATGTGACTGTGTAAATGTGACAGTGATTATGTAACAGTGTAAATGTTACAGTGTTAATGTCACAGTGTATGTTTTACAGCGTTCGTGTTACAGTGCTAATGTTAAAGTGTGAGAGTAACAGTGTTAATGTTACAGCATCAGTGTTTCAGTGTTAATGTTAAAGTTTTAATGTTACAGTGTTAATGTGACTGTAAATGTGACAGTGGTTATGTAACAGTGTAAATGTTACAGTGTTAATGTTACAGTTTAAGTGCAACAGTGTTAGGGTTACAGTGTTAATGTTACAGTGTCAGTGTTAGTGTTAATGTGACTGTCAATGTGACGGTGTTATGTAACAGCGTCAGTGTTACAGTGTTAATTTTACAGTGTTAACGTTACAGCATCAGTGTTACAGTGTTAATATTACAGTGTTAGTTATAAAGTGTTAATGTTACAGCGTCAACGTTACAGCGTAAGTGTAACAGTATTAATCTTACAGTTTTAATGTGACTGTGTTTATGTGACAGTGTTTATGTAACAGTGTTAGGGTTACAGTGTAAATGTTACAGCGTTAGAATTACAGTGTTAATGTTACAGCGTCAGTGTTACAGTGTAAGTTTTACAGTGGTAATGTTACAGCATCAGTGTCACAGTGTTAATGTTACAGTGTCAGTGTTACAGTGTTAATGTTACAGCATCAATGTTACAGTCGTAATGTTACAGTGGTAATTTTTCAGTGATAATGCAACAGTGGCAGTGTTACAGTGTCGGTGTTAAAGTGTATATGTGACAGTATTAATGTGACTGTGTTTATGTGACAGTGGTTATGTTACAGTGTTAATGCTACAGCATTAGTGTTGCTGAGTTAATGTTACAGCATCTTTGTTACAGTGTTAATATTACAGTCTTAAAGTTACAGCGTCAACGTTACAGCGTAAGTGTAACAGTGTTAATGTTATAGATTTATTGTTACAGTGTTAATTTGACTGTGTTAATGTGACAGTGGTTATGTAACAGTTGTAGCGTTACAGTGTTAATGTTACAGTTTTAGTGTAACAGTGTTTGGGTTACAGTGTCAATGTTACAGCGTTAGTGTTACAGACACCGGGAGCAAGGTGGGTTAAGTGTCTTGCCCAAGGACACAACGGACAGACTTGGGATAGGGGGGGAATCGAACCACCAACCTTCCAGTTATTGGACGACCGCCCTTACCTCCTGAGCTACTGCGATTATCTGCTAAATCACCAAACCTGGGGGGTATTCCAGAAAGCAGGTTATGTGAAAAACTCTGAGTAAGTTAACCCTGAGATGAGGGAAACTCTGAGTTATCCGTTCCAGAAAGAGAGGTAACTTAAACACTGGGTCAGTTACTGCGGTAACCTACTCTGTGAACATAACCTGCTCGCTGACAGGTTTACTATAAGAGACCCAGAGTTTCTACATGTCTCCTCCCACACAAAGAAAGCGGTTGAACATGGATTGTCCATTCCTTGAAAATCTGATCGACATCGAAGCCAGAATAATGCGCAACGGTTTACGTCGCGAGAGAATCTTCCGACCCAGATTAGACGTTTTATCATTTCCAGAAGAATTTATTTCCGAACACTACCACTTTTCTTTGAACAGTATAATTTATCTAAATAACCTTCTCCGGTCGTGTATTCAGTGTACATGTCAAACTCCAAATTCCACTTTAGAATGTAAATGAATGGGCACTGCCAGTAGCTATATATTAAGACACACTTCAGGATGCCCCTCTGGATCTCTCCCTGTGGCAGCAGACAGTATTTCTTCATCCTCCTCCTCCTCCTCCCCCTCCTGTAATGCAGGAAAATATACTGTTTCAGAATACTTTGAACTACCATCTGAGGAATCTGAGTATGGAAGACTTACAGCTACATGGTTTGTTTCTGTCGGAGGCTGAAGCAGGCAGATGACACCATCCACAACTGTTGGGTGGGTGGATATATATTTGTTAAAAAGTAGGCTATATATATTTATATATTAGTTTTATTTTTTAAAGACATAAGTGTATACTTGCATCTGATGTAGGGACTTGTGTCCTGGGGGGTGACAGGCTCAGATGAGCTTCCCCCGGGGATGCCTTCAGCCACAGGGCGACCCCTGTTTTGGCTGAGGGCCAGCTCCTCAGCCTCCGTCAGATGTAGTGGAGGTGGCCCTCCACCCGTTTTTCGGGCCTCTGCCTTCTTTCTGTTGGCTGAGCAGAAGTCAATGTTTATTTTAAAATAGTATTTTAATCAGTGTTGGTGTAGGCTACAGCGTCACACTTTAAATGACTTCAATAGGTCTAAAATATAAATGTGTTTGTATCAAGTGTTAATCCACGAACTGTAGAATTAAGTGAGAGGACGTTGAAAAACTACATTTTGTTTGGGGTTTAAATTATAATTTGAAGTAGCCGCTGAATTAATATTTTAGTTTAAATTAATATTGACTTTGTCTAATAGCCTAAGTCCATTTAAAATAATTAAATTAAAACCAAAGTGAGGTGCAATCACAGCCTAGCAAAATATGCCTTACCTTTTTGAATTATGTTTTTATGTTTCATTTTGAGCTGCTTCCAAGTCCTTTTTTCTCCCGTTGGATTGCACCTAAATGAAAATCAGATTTCATTCCTACTTATATTCATAACTATAGACTATGCTTCGATCTTATATGTTACGTCAGTGGAATAGTACATTCAAACTTACGCATTGACTCGCGCAGCAATTTTCTCCCATGCCGTCTCTCTCTCCTTCGCTGCTGCAGCCGTGTTGGATTTGCGGCGAAAAATGTTCTCATACTCGCCGTAGGCCAGCATAAGGACCTCCAACTCCACCGGGGTGAAATAAATTGACCGTTTTTGCTCTGTTGTCATGGTGACTCGTGGTATCGGGGCTCCATTGATGATGGCTTTTTATAGTGGTTGTGCATGCGCGTAACTCCAGGTTATCATACTCAGAGTTGATTGAACTAATTCAGATCAGCTTTTCTGGAACCGGATACTCAGAGTCTCCCATCTCAGAGTAAGTCAACTCAGAGTTCAGGGATAGACTCAGAGTATGTTGAACCTGCTTTCTGGAATACCCCCCTGGTCACTAAAAAGAATAAACAATCGCTTGAATCTCAAGTCACTTTTATAAAATTTATTTGGTTCAGGCAGCAGTGCAAAATCTTGGACTTTGTAAGACTTTAGTGCAAACTTGAGAGCGAAACATAGTGCAAACACAGAGTATAAGCATTAAACATTTTGTAAACATTTCATTCTTAAACCATCAGTGCAACAATGGAACACCTAAAATACAGACATGGTATGTCAAACAACCGTCCCCTGCGGCTCGAGGCTGTGCACTGGGCCGGGTTACAACGCCGTTACTCCCGTGGCGTGTAGTTTGAGTTGCAAATGTAAATGTGCCTCTCACACATTTGTGAGTGCAGACCAACTCCTCAGCGAGCTTGATTATTAGCCTTTAGCTGTTTGCACAGCTGCCATTGTTGCATTTCAAAGCCATCAAAGGCAGTGGCGAGTGCTGCCCCCAGGAGGATCAAAGAAGGGATTACACAACATGATTTTTTTCCAGAGCTGGTTCATGTGGCAACTTTCTCAGCTACAAGCTTCCATGACCCAGGGTCACCCAGCCAGGGACCATCCAGGTGTCTGAGTCATAGACTGTATATAAGATGGACAGAGTCTGCCTCCTTGCTGGGTGAAGCCACTCCGAGAACAGCACCCTCTGATGGTGGGCTGCAGTACAGGTCATAAATCCCGCCTCCGCCAGCAAAGCTTATGGGACTGTGGACAAACTTTAGAAATTTATTACACAGAACATAATTTTTTCTCCCCCCTGCTTGTGATGTTGACATGTAGTTACAGTAAGACTGGTTTGTGCTCAAGTCCTTTTCTTCTGTACAGCTCTGTTTTTAAAAGTTATTAGGGGGTTCATGTTTTCTATGATTGACACCTGGTACAGCCTATGGGTGTTCAGGGATTGCGTAGCTCTCCCGGGGGGATACGCTATTTGAGCAGAGCGTCATCACAGGGACTCTCGGCAACTGCGCGGCCGAATGCGCGCATTGCTACTGCGCAGCTCTGGCTTCAACGAAGTGGAGAAAAACCCGGAATTACCGAGAGCATTTTGGCTTCAAATCCGTATACAGGCGGAAGGCGGAAGGCGGAACCAGGTTGTCCATCTTATATACAGTCTATGGTCTGAGTAAAGTGGACACATCAGCTGGGGGTCCTACAGAAATGGGACTTATATATTTGGATTTATTTCCCCCCGAAATGGAACTTAATATTTTATTTTTATTGAGTTAAAATAGTACAGCCCAAACCATAGTCAATTAAGAGAACCATATGTCTGTGTGTGAGGAAAGGTGTACTCCTGTCTTCAGGGCACTGTGCTACTCAAGAATCTGGTCTCAGATACCAGTTCAGTGGCCTTGTGGTCCACCCTGAGACTGGGTGTTTGGAGGTTTGATTCCCTTGCTGAGGGGCTTCCTCCCTCTCAAAAAATGTAAAATAAATAAAGAAAAAAGTTACAGAATTTATAAAAAAAAAAAGATGATTCCAGAATTACTCAAAAGTAGGACAATTAATAAAGCCACTGCTTGGTTAAAAATTACCCTGGTAGGTGTTTTTATTAATAACCTCTTTGACCTAGCAGTGGCTAACACATGTTGTGTTTAATTCACATGATAACTATTTTATGTGTTAAAATAGCATTAACTCAAAAGTGTCTAGGATAATAACACAGGATGTGTAAATATAACATAACAAATCTTAAAATATAATACCACAAAAAATGTGTATGATTTTAACACATTCATTTTGAGAGTGTGGGACACACCTGCAGTAACGGGGGACTGTGTTTATACTTTAAACACTGTTACCGTAGTAACCAGAGGTTTTTTTTTATTATCACTGAAATAAAGTCTTTATAAAGACATGAAGAAAACAGAGCCAGCTTCTTTCTTAAAAATCAGTTTATTAGGTTCTGGGTTATTAAAATGATCATGTAAGAAACAACATGACATTGTCTTCATACAGAGTTTAACATATGTGGGTATAAAAACAGGCACTTATCAGAGGAGGATCATGGAAATATACACAACCCTAACAAAGCTCTAACACACTTATTGGTCCTGAAAGTTTCACTTATATAAAAACAGATTGTTTTTTTTCTCACAGAAGTTTTCTCTGCGATCAACCAGATCATAGATTCAGTCTGATTGTCTGATTTAGTTTCAGATCTTTTTGAAGAAGCAGTCTGAACAGAATAAATCTGTGCTGGTGGTTCTGATCTCTGACGAGCATCATTTCTCTGATTCACTTTGTTTTCATAAAACTGTTTCTCCTCTCAGACATCAGAATAAACTCTTCAGATTTAAGACTCAAACTCTGACACCACATTTACCGTCTTTAAGCTCATTTTCGGGACGTCGATGTCTCTTTCTGGGTTTTTTGGTCTTTCTCTTTACTTCTTTACTTCTTACAGCAGCAGATTCAGAAAAACATAATTAAATGAGATTAAAAATGAAATTCCTCCTGGTTCAAGTTTTTTTTAATTTTTCCTATGAAATCTGGAATAAAAAAATACAGATAGAAAAACTTACGACAGGCACCAGATCCACCAAGTTCCTGAAAACTTGCAGTCCACTTCATTTTCTGGGCATAAAGACAAAAACAACCAACGCAGCAGAAACCCTCCGGGGACAGGGAGAGGGTTCAGGGTCGGACCAGGGACAGGGAGGGGGGGGTCAGGGTCTGAATGTGGTTTCACCTGATCAATCATTATTTCAGGACATTTGAAGGTTTTTGGTCCTGAACAGCTAACAGGTCCATCTGAACCATGGTCATCACAGCGTGTCCATAAAAATAAAGACATGAATAAAAACAAACTCTGCAGCTTCAGGACAGAGAGAGGAGAGACTAAATGAATAAAAAGTCAAATCAAATATTCAGTAATTAAAACAGTAAAAAGTCAAACTCATCAGATCTTAAGTGAAACCTCAGTGACCGTCCGGATCATCTTTTATCATTTCACTCCTTAATTTCACATTTTCACTTTTTCTCTTCTTTCAATAATCAGAGAACACTCTGGATTTTATCATCAAGTCATTAATTATGATATGATAATTGTCATTAATTATCATTAAGGCAGGCCTTTCTTCTTTTCTGGACTTTTCTATCTGCTAACAGAACCTCAAGCCCGACCCCCTGAGAACAGAACAAACAAGCCCATCTGACACACTCGCATCTCAAAATAAAAGCCTGAGACGTTTCTTACATTTCAAAATAAAAGTCAGAGACATTATAAATGACATATTTGAAAGTGAAGCTGCAGAGTGTCATCCACAGGAAATGAAACATGTCTAAAGTAAAGGTCAGATGTCAAAGGTCAAAAGTCAGGGAGCTGAGGGGGTTCAGGTCCAAACAGGAAGATTGACATGAGGACAGGTATCCGACTCCGCAGATACTGTGACAGGCTGAAAGGTGTGATTCATGTGTTCATGCTCATCAACCAGGAAGAACTTTCACCTGCTCAGTGCTTTAGGGTCTCTCTGCCTTTATTCACATTATTGATTAAAATGATGATTGTCGATTTATTGATTAACTCTGGTGTTTTTGGTGTTTTTACTCCGACCCTCCTCTGCAGGATCTCCAACTCACCAACAACTGAGAGTCAAAATGATTAATGATGACAAACAAGGACCGACGACGGCTGATAACGACCTATAATCACAAATAATTGCTGATAATGACCGATCGTAATGATATTGACCGATAATTACCAATAATAATGATAATGACCGATAATTACCAATAATGACTGATAATGGTGATAATGACTGATAGTGACCGATAATCATTGACAATGACCGATAATGACTGATAATGATTAATAATAACTGATAGTGACTGATCTTGTCTGGGGTCTGACGCACGCACGCACACACACACACACACACACAGCTGAGATCTAGTTTCTTATATTTGGTTAAATGTAAGAACCTAATGAGAAATGACTGATGACCTTTCTGTCCTCTCTCTTATTTTCAAAGGTCAAAAAAAGGCGTCAGAGGTTCAATTCCTCTCTGGTGACCCGGTCCTCCTCTGGGCTCACGGTTCAGTTCTAAAGTCCGTCAGTAACACAGTGGATGTTCAAGCTTTAGAGGAGAAACTCCAAAAACCAACATGTTTGATGGTCTTAACGGACCTTAGATCAAAGTTACCTGTAGAACAGGTGAGGAGACTCCTCCCTCCTGGAGAGAGAGAAATAGATAGAGAGCGAGAGAGATAGATAACAGAGAGAGAGAGAGAGAGAGAGAGAGAGAGAGAGAGAGAGAGAGAGAGAGAGAGAGAGAGAGAGAGAGAGAGAGAGAGAGAGAGAGAGAGAGAGAGAGCGAGAGAGAGAGGTGGTCTTGATGAACCCACACCTGTAAAATCTCCAACTGCTGCAGGCTCATTTGAACACGTCTGATCAGCCACATACAGAGGAGATGGAATAACCTGCAGGACAGCACCCTCTGCTGTTTGTGAAGAGGATCTGGATAAGAATGAAGTATCTCAGCAGGGAAACGGGTTAGAGTGTGCTATAAAGTCCTTCTTTTTCTCCCTGACAGGCTCCGGTAGTTCTTCTTCAGACTGCATTAATGAGAGGATCCCTGCAGACGCCCGAGGAGTCCCCATCCCCCCGTCTGCTCCTCTTTGTTGTGTGTTTGTTTGTGTTGTTGTGTGTGAAGTGAATATTGTGTCTGAGCTGAACTTACACAAACACACAAAGCAGAGGAAGACCTGTGGGCTTAAATCGGTGTTTTTATGAATCGGGTTTGGTGAGTTTATATGGAGACGGTTGGAGCAGCTGTTGAATGTTTCTGAGTCTTCAGCTCATGGAGGAGAGTGACATCTGCAGAGTCAAGTCCAGGTCAAGTCTGGGTCAAATCTGGGTCGAGTCTGGGTCAAGTTCGGGTCAAGTCTGGGTAGAGTCTGGGTCGAGTCCGGATCAAAAACACCAGAGCCTGTTTAAAAGCGAGCGCCTGTTCTGCTCTGTGATTGGTTCATTATGAGAAAACTGATTGACCCCACAGCACTGAGCCTATAAAAACTTGATTTAAAATGATGTCATGAACGGGCCTGGTCATCGAAGCTCCACCCCCAGTGTCATATTAAAGGAACAGAGTGCGAAATATTCTCTGACCTCAGCGTGCAGCACAAAGACTGAATTACGCGTCTTCTGTGCCGTTCGCCACGGCATTCAGTTTGTCCGTCTCTGCCGAAGCACCAGTCGGCGCCACGCTGACATTACTGGGTTCTTGTTTCTCTGCGTTCTTAAAGGGGACGCCATTACACTTCACAAACCAGCCGAGGTCAAGGAAGAACGCCAACGATGCCAGGAAACCAAAGGCCTGAAAATGGAGGAGGAGAGGAGGAGAACAATGAGACAAGGTTAGGAGACAAATGGAGGACAGGAGGAGGCAGAGAAGGAAAAGAGGAAGAAGGAGATGAAGGAGGAGGTAAGGAGGGAAAAGAGGAGTCAGAGAAGGACAGACAGGACACAAAGAGGGAGAGAAGGGAGGAAGGGAGGAAACTAGGATGTCAAAAAGGAAAAAGAGATAATCGTATTTTGGAAAGGTCAAGGGTCAAGGTTACTTTACTGTCAATTCTGAAACACGTGTAACACAAACAGAGACTGAAAACATGTTACCGACGGTAACCATGAAGGAGAAGAAGAAGAAGAAGAAGAAGAAGAAGAAGAAATTTAATGATCCCTGTAGGGAAATTATCTCTCTATATATGTGTATATATAAATGTATGCATGCATAAATACATTTATATATACACGACAGGCCAAAAGTTTGGAAGCAAGATCAGATTTGTACAAAAAAAGATCATAGTTTCATATATATAATTTGCAACACAATAAACATGACTATTGTGTAAAGAGTAACTTATCAGAAGACATTTTGACTATAATTATTAGATATTTGAGTTATTGTTGCATAGACTTTGCTTTCTTTAAAGTAACCTCCTCTGGCTTTAACAACAGCTTGGCATGTACCAGGCATTCGTTCCACAAGTTTTTTAAGGTATGTTCCAGGGATTGCATTCCAAGCTTTCTTAAGTTATTTAAAAGAGACTGCTGATTCGTGGGATGCGTTTTTCTGACCGATCGATCCAATTCATCCCGCATAAGCTCAATTGGAGAAAGGTCTGGAGACTGAGGGGGCCAACCCATTTTGAAGAACACCTTTCTCTTCTTTTTTGTCTAGATAACCCTGACAGAGTTTGGTAGAGTGCTTAGGGTCACTGTCTTGCTGCAAAACAAACTTATGAGCCACAAGTCTTAGTCCAGATGGAGCAGCATGGTGCTGGAGGATGGAGTGGTACTGTTCCTTCTTCATGATACCCTTTACATCAAACAAATCTTCTACTCTATCACCTGCAAAACATCCCCATACCATGTAACTACCACCTCCATGCTGAATTGTGGGTGTAACACATGGTGCTTTCAGACGTTCACCAGTTTGTCTGCAGACATAGACTCTGCGTTTTGAACCAAAAAGTGCAAACTTGATTCTAGTCATCACAAGTCAATTTTTGTGAGCTTTTGCCCACTCATATCTCTTTTTCTTGTTCTGTGGACAAAGTAGTGTTATTTTGCAGATACACAACCCTTCAGACCAGCCTTTCTCAAACGTCATTTCACGGTTGTCAGATATGGGTTTCGACCTTGTTATGTTGATTTCCTCCTTTATTTGTGGTGCTGTCTTTCGCCGATCTCTTTTACTGGTGACAATGCTATGTTTATCCTCTGCTTTTGGAGTAACTCTATTTCGTACAGGTCTTTTTCTATCATCATAACTTCCAGGTTCCTCTAGTCTCTTCAGAGTGTAGTGGACTCCTTTGTTAAACACCTTTAGGCGTTTTGCAATTTCTCTTTCTGTATATCCTTCTTTCCTCAATGTACAAATCTGTACTTTTGTTTCTTTACTCATAATAATAATAATGCATCAGATTTCATATAGCGCTTTATCAGAGACCCTCAAAGCGCTTTACATTGGATACATCATTCATTCGATCACACAGTCACACTTTGGTGGTGATAAACTACCTTAGTAGTCACAGCTGCCCTGGGGCAGACTGATGGAAACGTGGCTGCCATTTTGCGCCTATGGCCTCTCCGACCACCACCACACAACACTCACAATCATACACCAGTGGAGGACACACTCAGTTGCTTCTTTCTAGCCATTTTTGGGGTAGTTTAAATGCAGTTGAGATTTATGAGGATTTTTGTATGCAGGCTCTCAAAAGCCAACAAGTTGAAGTGAATAATCCAATTATGATTTTTTTTTTTTTTTTGCTTTTGCACTGAAGTTGTGACTCTTGCAAATGTTTTCAACCCTAAAACTAAGCCCTTATTATCTTTTGCTGACATATATTTAGCAATGGTCTGTTAACATCAATGTATATCTAAAGGTAAATGAAGTAAAATGGTGCATTTCCATGGAAGCAACATCTGATCATGGAGTACATAAAACTCACGCTGGATTAAAAAAAAAACATTGTGAACAAAAACTTGAAGTTACTCCCAACTGTTTGGCCTGTAATGGCATTGCTTCCAAACTTTTGGCCTGTAGTACATGTATATATATATATACACTCACCGGCCACTTTATTAGGTACACCTGTCCAACTGCTCGTTAACACTTAATTTCTAATCAGCCAATCACATGGCGGCAACTTAATGCATTTAGGCATGTAGACATGGTCAAGACAATCTCCTGCAGTTCAAACCGAGCATCAGTATGGGGAAGAAAGGTGATTTGAGTGACTTTGAACGTGGCATGGTTGTTGGTGCCAGAAGGGCTGGTCTGGTGGGGAATATTTTCTTGGCACTCTTTGGGCCCCTTGGTACCAATTGAGCATCGTTGCAACGCCACAGCCTACCTGAGTATTGTTGCTGACCATGTCCATCCCTTTATGACCACAATGTACCCAACTTCTGATGGCTACTTTCAGCAGGATAATGCGCCATGTCATAAAGCTGAAATCATCTCAGACTGGTTTCTTGAACATGACAATGAGTTCACTGTACTCAAATGGCCTCCACAGTCACCAGATCTCAATCCAATAGAGCATCTTTGGGATGTGGTGGAACGGGAGATTCGCATCATGGATGTGCAGCCGACAAATCAGCGGCAACTGTGTGATGCCATCATGTCAATATGGACCAAGCTCTCTGAGGAATGCTTCCAGCACCTTGTTGAATCTATGCCACGAAGAATTGAGGCAGTTCTGAAGGCAAAAGGGGGTCCAACCCGTTACTAGCATGGTGTACCTAATAAAGTGGCCGGTGAGTGTATATATATATATATATATATATATATATATATATATATATATATATATATATATATATATATATATATATATATATATATATATATATATACATACATACATATGTGTGTGTGTGTCTCTGTGTGTGCATCTGTGTCTGTGTGGGTGTGTATTTGTTTCTGTGCGTGATTCTCTGTGTGAGGTTGCTTGTGTGTGTCTGTGTGTCTGTGTGTGTTGCTGCCCTCTCACCACAGCCCCCCTCTCCACAGATGTGTTTCCGTTGTCTGACGCAAACACGATGGAGGCAATGAGGAAAAGCACGCCGATGCTCGCGGTGTAAACAAAGTCCTACAGAAAGAGAGAAGGGGGCAGAGTTAGGACCTGTACACCTGGTCACCTGTGCTGGAGTTTGAGGAGTTTCTCTCTGGAGAATTAAGACCTGGTGCCCCTGTGACGACTAGCTGGTGAATCAAACCTGGAGTTGAAGTGTCTTACCAGTTTGGGCCAGCAGGTTATGCCCACTCTGGAGTGCAGGCTGGTGGAGAGGAGGATGAGGAGCAGCAGGGTGAAGAGGAAGGCAGTGCAGCTGACAAACTCAAAGAAGTAGAGGGCGGTGCAGCTCATGCAGCTGTTGACCACCTCCTCCAGGATGAAGGCCAGGAAGGACAGCAGCTGGAGACACGAAGGGGGGATTAGAGAGACACGGAGGCAGGGTAAGATACATCTGAGAGTCTGAGAAGATCTGACATCAGAGAGAGAGACAGACAGACAGACAGACAGACAGACAGAGAGGAACACAGAGGAACAGACAGACAGACAGAGAGAGACAGACAGAGAGGAAGAGCTGCAGATCAGCAAAGTGACTTTATCATTTTACATCAGGATGATTGAAAAGAAAAAAAAAAACAGCTGAGAGAAAGCGAAGAAAATCAGACAATAAGACACAGTAATAACAGACAAAAGACACTGATATAAAAGACACTGTAATAACAGATACTGAATAAGAATAAGAACTTTATTAATGTTGTCTCATTAATCATGTCTCTAAAAGTTATCTACTATTTACACAAGAGTTATAAAGTCCGATGGCTGTTGGTAGAAAAGATCTTCTGAATCATTCTGTCCTGCAGTGAAGAGAGAGGAGCCGTCCACCACCATTGGCCCTTTGGTCCATCAAAGTGTTTTGAAGTGGGTGATCCATGTTCTTTAGAATAGACTCCACCTTCCTCAGTGTAGATATCTCCACCACATCCTCCACTGAGTCCAGCTTGAGTCCAACCACAGAGCCAGCCTTTTTCACCAGTTTGTTAAGACGTCTTGCATCTTTTTGTTTGATGCTTCTTCCCCAGCAGACTGCAGCATAGAACAGAACACTATAGATTTACACCACAGACTGATAAAACATCTGCAGCATCCAACTACAGATGTCTATTGATCGGATTCTTCTCAGGCAAAAGAAGTGGCTCTGCCCCTTTATGTAGATGAAGTCTATATTCTTAGACCAGTCCAACTTATTATCCAGATGTACACCTAGGTATTTATATGATGTCAGCACTTGGATGTCCACTCTACAGGTGTTCACTGGCTGAAGAGGTGGTTTGGATCAACGGAAGTCTAGACCATCCCCTTTGTCTTTGAGGTGCTGAGGAGGAGGCAGTTTTGTGACTCCAGTCACTGAAGGCTCTTATCAGATCTCTGTATTCAGCTTGTCCATTTCTGATACATGCCACAATAGCGGTGTCATCTGAGTATCTCTGGATGTGTCTGGATTGTCAGTGCTGTATTTGAAGTCTGACATATGCAGTGTGAACAGGAATGGCACCAGCACTGTCCCTTGTTGAGCCTCTGTACTGCTCATTAATGTCCTAGAAACACAGTTTCCCAGCCTCACAAACCATGGCCTTCCTGTCAGGTAATCTGTGATCCATCCAGGAAACACAGGCAGGATCCACTCCCATCTCTGTGAGCTTGTCTTTGAGTATGGTAGGTTGGATGGTGTTGAATGCACTTGAAAAGTCGAGGAACATGATCCTCACATAAACCCCAGGTTCTTCCAGATGAGACAGGGCATGGTGAAGCATGTAAAGGACATCATTCACTCCAATGTGTTCTTTGTATGCAAACTGCAGGGAATCCAGTTTGTCTTTGACCTCTGACCTCAGAAGACGTAGAACCAGCCGCTCCAGGGTTTTCATGATGTGTGAAGTGAGGGCCACTGGTCTGTAGTCATTGTGTTCTGCAGGACATTTTTTTTTTGGGACTGGCACAATGCAGGATGTTTTCCACAGAGTAGGTACCCGCCCCAGCTGTGGACTCGGGTTGAAGATCTTGTGGAGAGGTTGACACAGTTCTGCAGCACAGTCTCTACGCAGCCTTGGACACACACCATCTGGCCCAGCTGCCTTCCCAGGACAAAGTCTTCCAAGCTCCATCCTCACCTCTCTTTTGGTGACAGACAAGGACTGGTGTTCTAGGAGGGAGGCAGTTGGAAGTGGTTGAGACATTTAAACGAGATGGAGGAGGAAGGGGAGAAGTTGTAGTGGAGATTGTTGCGGAGAGGAAGGTGGAGTAGCAGTGGTAGTGGGTGTGACAGCAGTGTCAAATCTGATCAAGAACAGGTTGAGTTCATCAGCTCTTTCCATTTCACTCACCACTGGCTGTCTTTTCTTTTTATTGCTGTGTCCAGAGATGGTACTGATTCCTCTCCACACTTCACAGATGTTGCTGTGTTGTAGATTCTTCTCTGTATTCTTTTTGTACTCCAGCTTTGCCATCTTCAGTCTCCTCTTCAACTCTTGTTGCACTTGTTTGAGTCGTTCTTTGTCACCATCTTTAAAAGCTTTCTTTTTCTGGTTAAGGATTGCTTTTATGTGACTTGTGATCCAGGGTTTGTTGTTGGGTAAAAAGCGAACAGTCTTTGTGGGTATAACTGTGTCTTTACAGAAGTTGACATATTCAGTGAAGCAGTCAACCTGTTTATCAATGTTCATACATGAAATAACAGACACTGTAATAACAGACACAGTAAACAGTGTAATAACTGCTCCAGTGACAGTACATAGAAACTGTCTCAGTTCCAAGTTCCTTAAGGGGTTCCTATTTACAGACTCTGAGGACTGTTATTGTTGATTATGAAAGGTAAACACTCTCCCTGATGAGGGCGATAGAGAGCTTTCTTTTTTCCCCTTCCCTTCCTTCCTTCCTTCCTTCCTCCCTCCCTCTCGCATCGAGGAGAATCCAGATAAGTTTTTCAGAGTCCTCCTTCTGTCCTGGGTATTTCTGTCCTGTGGTCGACCAGAGTCCAGACCGTCTCCTATGACCTCAGTGGGTTTCCTGCATGACGTCTAAAAACCTATCATTTGGTCGTCTCCGCCCGTTTGCATGCTGTGAAATACGATCCTCCTGAAACACAGTGTTTTATTTTGAAAGAAGCCGGATGTTTTATTTTGTGTCTGTCCCTGACTTCCTTTCCAGCACAAGTTAATCTGTGCTGTATTTATCCGGTGTACTCCAGCGTCCAGAAAAAATAGAACTCTTGCAATCAGCGGTGGAGTCTGGCGATCCACAAGGGAATGGAAAGAAGCCGCTGGAAATTGACACGTTGACTTGAATGGTTACGATCGGAGGATACGACCTTTTCGTAGACGTTCATGATGTGGTGGAAATTGGGGGTTAGACGGTCTGGGGCATCAGCCCCCCTCTGACCCGTTTTCAGCTCCTGGACTCCTGATCCGGTGGTCCAGATAGTTCTGCGGAAAACTGGACTCTGAGAGATTGGACAGGTCTGCAGTTCTGATCTTTTCTTGACTTTATTTTGATCAGAAACACTAAGCTGAGGGCTGAAGAATCCACTGAACCTCAGTCTTGGACCTCCCAGACCTGAAAAGGATTTTTGAGTCCCTGTTAGTCCTCGTGTTCGTGTCTGAAGACTTCCTCCTCTCTGCCTGTGAGTCATCAGGACTAACTGAACATCAGGACCACAGCTGGAGTTTCATAACAGGAAACTCCAGCTCTAGCCCCCCCCTTTACACACACACACACACACACACACACACACACACACACACACACACACATCTGTTCACTCCGTGTTGCAACAGCAGCTCTGAGATCTGCTAACGTTAGCTCTGCAGGACTTTCACTTCCACATCCAAGACTTCCTGGGAGGGGGTCTGAGAGGGGTCACACGCACACACACACACATCCTTCAAACACTCCTCAGAGTCCCTGGTGTGGATCCATCCTGGTCCCTACAGTCCGACTCCATAGTGATAATACCTGATCAGCTGTTTGACTGCAAACCCGTTTATACCTTTAAAGTAGGGCTGGGCGATGAAATGATAACGATGTATATTGAAATTTAATTTTCCTCAGTATCATTATAAAACATGGTCAATATGGTTTTTCAATATTAGTCACTAAAAAAAGAGAAAAGTTGGTTCTCCAGGATTTATCTGGTTTAGAGCGGTAAGGTGTACGGTGAGTGTGTCCTCGTTAATAGACACAGATACAGATGTCCAGTTTAGTGGATTTATTTGACTGTGGTTCTGCTGATAAAGATACAAAACATCAATCAGTCCAGCTCACACCGTACAGAACATGAACATGGAGTAACATGAGATAGCATTAGACATATTTACAGTAAACAATAAACAATAACACAATATGACATCCGACAGTGAAACATCATCAAACTCACTTCTGACATTTATACACAATAAACCTGGATGTAAGTATTGAGTAAAAACAGTGAAGAGGAAATTTACCAACTATCCTCTGCTGCATGAGGAGGAAAACTAAACTTTCAGACCTGAAGCATCTCACACACAGGTGCGGTGTGTTCAGGAGCATAGGACAAATGAAAACTCACTGTAAAACACAAAATAACTGAAAGGTATTTACTTAAAAATAAGGCTGCACGATATTGGAAAAAACTAACATTGCGATTTTTTTCAACCCTGCGATATATATTGCGATATTAAAAATATAGGAATTTTCACCAGATGAACTGAATAGCATTTAATGTTATGCTGCACCGCTGAAGTCTTGAGGACAGTTAACCTGCTCTGATCTTACCTCTTTTTGTGAATATCAGTAGAATGGCTTCTGTCTGTCTCAGAGATATTTTTAGCTTTCATTGTTCTGGGACGTTATTGTGGCGACAGATAAACACAGAACATGTGTTTCGGTCGACATCATCCTTCTTTTAACCGAAATAATTCCAGATAACTGACTTTCCTTTTCTTTTTGGCAACAAATCTTAATTTTCGGTGGTTTTCTCTTGTTCGTTGCTCAGTTTGCAATCGTTGTTGTTGTTGTTAGCGGTGTTGTGCCGAGAAACGCATGTCCTCCGAGAACTGCATGCACCTCGCAAAACGCGCACCGCTTATGGTAGAGTGGTCCACGGAAATATACATTTTAAAACCCATACAGTTCTTATTTGTTGGGCTTAACAGTCATGAGTAAAGTTCCGAAAGTAATTCTCAGTGGACACGCGTTTCTCGGCTCAACACCAGCAGCCAGCGAGTAACTCCATGTGCAGAACATGTGCAGGGGTGGGTTTCCTCCTCTCTGATTTTGATTGACAGCTGGCAGGGTAGTCTGATTGGCAACTGAGAACTGAGTCTGATTGGCAACTGAGTAAAGGACAAAGGTGATTGGTGGATCGCTGCACAGCACATGCAGAGTCACATGCAGTGTATCTCAGTCAGCTACCCTTGAAATTAACTGAGTTCATTCACCTCCGACATTGCAGGCTCTGCGATGTGACTATCGCACACACGTACATCGCGATGACGATGCTCAAACGATATATCGTGCAGGCCTACTTAAAAACACTGAAAACAACATGGACTTTCTAACAGGCATTCTGACAAGTTTTGGTAGACTATATGAATAGCTAGGCCTAGTGCTGGGCGATATGGAAAAAAATGTATATCACGATATGGATCATTTTATATCACGATAACGATAAATATCATGATATAGCTATGGTATGCTTTCAGTTCTATGAAAAATTTAAGTGTATACAGCTGCACTAGTACAGTACCAGTACAAGACCAGCACTTAAAACTAGCAAAATGAATAAATAAGTACGTGGCTGAAGTGCGTTCATGTCTGTGCTCACCCAAAGTTATGCAACACTCACAGAAAACGCCGATAGTGTGAGCCAAAGCACTCCATAATAATAATAATAAATTTAATTTGTAATGCACTTTACATTTACAAAAAATCTCAAAGTGCTACAGTACACAGTAAAAAAAGAGCAGCAACAATAAAAAAGCAATAGAATGACAGTCACAGATTGGCATAAAAAAAGAATTTAAAAAAATAAAAAATATAGAGTTGCGATGTAAGAGGCAAGGTAGTAAAAGCATAAAGCATAGAGGAAAACTAACCAAAGGCTTTATTAAAAAGGTAGGTCTTTAGGGCTCTTCTGAAGAGGTTGTTCACACTGCTGGATGTTTCTCCTCCAAAGCTGCTCTCTGCCTCCATCATTGTTTACTTTACTCTTGAAGCACGTAGCAAGACCCGAGCATGAATCCGAGCGCTTTATTCGCCTATCAGGGGCAGACAGGTAAGGTGATTTGATTCGCCACGACTCCAGAAATGATTGAAAAACTACAGAATGTCACAAAATTACGTTTCCTCGCTGCTGGCTTGAAGAGTACAAATGCGCAGCCGCGCTCCCAGCTGACAGGAAGTCAAACCACTGTTGTAGTTCTTTTGTGTTGCTAGCGCGGTCAAGAGTGTTGGCTCTCACTGAGAGATGACTACAAAAATGGACGCACCTGTTCATCTGGTTGTTGAACACGGCTGAAAATGATCATCCTTTAATGTTGTTCCCGCTCCTGCCCACTCCCGTTGCTTTTTTTCCTGTTCCGTCCCGATCAAGGGATTAATTAAAAAACGACTCCCATCCCGTGGGATTCCCGCGGGAATCACGTGACCCACGGGAGTTCCCGAAAAATGTCATCCTCTACAGGGAAGGTCCCGGAGCAGATGAAACAGGTGCCGGAGCGGCTGAAATAGGTCCTGGGTCCGATCAAAAGAGGTCCCGGAGCGCGCTCCGACTTGCTCCGGCACAAATTAAGCACTGCTTACAATGATCCCCTCACGTGTGTAACCCAGGTAACCCGCAACGGCGGGAGACGCTGGACACGAAGAGAGCACGTAAAGCGGCGTCACGTCGCAAAATCGAAAGAGAAATGCAAGCCTACATGTCAACACATCCTTTTCTTTGTAAGAAAATATTGTTTTCTTTCCCGTTTGACACCAAATACACTTACTGAATGTGCAGTTATTGTTGTTGTTACTATGAATCATCTGATGGCACAAGCCCTATGGATAAAATACAGCCTATCGCCCGAAACGATAAAAATAAAAATGGCACGATAGACATTTTCTATCGTGCCCACGATATCTATCGTCCTATCGCCCAGCACTAGCTAGGCCTGTCGCGATAATCAATAAATCGCCTAATCGCTCGGTAAATAAAAACGAGGTCGGTAATTTTGCCAGCCTCGATAATTAACGTGCGTTTGTTTTCCTCCTCTCTCGCTACCAAACACGCTGGATGAGAGAAGAGGTCTCACTCTGCGCATTTTTCTCGACACCTGGGTGCGTTGGCTCTATAGCAGAATGAACGCGGTGAGTGAACCCTCCTGTCAGTCATTCAGTCTCTTTGTCACGCGCGCTGGCGCACACATGCACACAGACACACACACACACACAGACTTACTGACACAGTGCGGAGCAAACGCAATGAATGTTGAAACGACAGCTTTGGTGTCTAAGCCCAACGCAACAGCCCCAGTGTGGGAACATTTCGGTTTCAAATAAAATGAAAGAGGTGAGCCCACGAACACGGACGATATGTCGCATTTGTTCGAAAGTTTTGGTGACAAAGAAGGGGAATACGACGAACATGCATGTGCATCTCAAGCACAATCATCCACGGGGAGGATTGTGCTTGAGGTGCGCATGCATGTTCTTTGTTAACCTGTTGAGGAATAGCACCCAAAGCTAATTATTTAGTGCAATTTTGTTTACAGACTCGAGACTCCACTTTATTTATTTTTTTAATAGTTATGTGTGGAGTGAACTTTTTGTTCCATACCAGTTTTTTGGTTGTCTTGTTTGTTTATTACATTTGTTCATCCAAATTCAAAGTTCTTAATCTTGAGCAATTACAGTTTATTGCTTTTGACATGGTGTACTCGCATTATTATGCCATATATTACCATTATCTATAATTTAAAAAACGGTATCAATAATATCATTTATCGGCAATAATTTGTAACACAATTATCGTCCAGCAAAATTTGTTATCGTGACAGGCCGATGAATAGCCAATGAAAAGGGGAGTTACTCCAGGTCCACTTCACGCTGAACCAATCATGTGCTGAATTAGAACCAAGTAGCAAAGACCTCACATTGCAAAAGACATTGTATTGCAAAAGACATGCGACCAATAAACACTGTTACATTTCATTTTTTAAACCCTGATATTGATATCGACTGATATGAACAAAATGTATCATGATAAACTTTTTCTCATATCGCCCAGCCCTAATTTAGATCCTTCAGAGGCTTCAGGTCCACCACCATCAGGTGACTTTTGACTCCTCTTGAATGACAGAGTGATCCTTTCACTCTTTCACTTTTTATCTCCTGTAAACTTTAAAGTTCCCGACGGTCCGCTCAGTTCTCGGGATTCATCTTCTAAAAATGATCAAAACAAACTTTGAGGAGCAACTGATGACTTTTCCACTAATTCAGATCAGAATTTAAGACAAAGACCTTCTGAAACATCGACTCTGTCAGACTTTAGGTTAGAAAAACCTCCAGGAGGGTCTCAGTTTCTCTGTAAACAGTCAGAGCCTCAGTTTCTCTGTTTATCGTCTCTCTTCTCTCTGGTTTCCTCCCTCAGGTCAGAGTCTCGGTTTAGTTGTTTGGTTGTTCGCTAACCTTCATGCAAAGAGAGAAACCCTCCTCAGATCTCCAACCATGGAAGCAGGAGGTCCTGATGGAGGTCCTAATAGAGGACTGAGCTCCTCCTGCTTTTGCTCTCCATACTGACTGTTTATCCTGCAGAAGAGTTAAACCTGCTGACACCTGACTGTCAGCCATTTTTGGGGGAGGAGCACTGTCATGATATTAACTCTTAACAGCTAACAGGAAAGACACTAATGAGCATGTGCAGAGGGCCTGATGAGGGGGCTGTAAAGGGTTAATTTTCTCTTAAAGGAATTTTCTGTTTGTTTCTAAAGTTTTCTCAGGAGGGCCGAGTGATGATTACAAAGATCAGAGACTGAAAACAGTGGACTCTGAGATGGAGAACATCACCTTGCATGCTACAGGGTCAGCTGAACCAGAAGCAGTTGACGCTGAAACGGAGAACATCACTTGAGTAATGAGTGATGAGTCTGGAGATGTCAGTGCTGAAGACCTTACTGCAGCTACAAACACCGCAACCAAGAAGAAAAATAAACACAAGAAAAAGAAAAAAGAAAAAGGAAATCAAGGAAGCAACTGAGGTAAATGAAAACACACCCATAAACTGTGTGAAAGTGAGATCCAAAGATACCAACAAGATGAACCCTGGGTGGTCAAACTCACTTGGAAGAGTAACAAATGTGGATACATCATCAATTAAATCTTACTTCCAAACAGTATCACTCCTGCAGACCAAGAGGCCTAGGGAAGTGACGTCACCAAGTTCAGAATCTGGAACAACTTCACCAGTGAAGAAGAAGGTGGACATAGTAGGCACTGGCCATCAGGAGGCAGCTGAAGCACCAGGCACCATCAGCAGCCCAGATGGTGAAGGAGAAAAAGGAATGGATGGAGAGGGAGCCAGGAGAAAACCTGGAGGACTCTTCCCATGATTAAAGAGGGTAAAAAATTGATTACTGTGGAAAAAGCACACTCATGATACATATTTTTATCATGGTTATACTTTTAACATAGATATTCTATAAGGGTATAATTTCTTTTTCACTTAAATATGGCTTTGGACAGACTGTGTGTCCTCTCCCTGAATGTTAGGGGGCTTCAAAATAATGATAGAAGAGCCCAAGTTTTTTCTTGGATCAGTAAACAACATGCAAGTATTATAATGCTACAAGAAACATTTTTTACTAATGATCTAATTGCAAAAGTGAATAAGGAATGGAGAGGGAAAGCTGTGCATAATATTGGAACAAACCACAGGAGGGGTATAAGTATTCTATTCTACCCTAAACTGAACAATATCGAATTGAAAGAGTTTAAGCATGATCTTGGGAGAAATATATGTGTCAATTGTAAGATTGCCAACAAAGCATATTCATTTCTTAACATTTATGCCCCTAATGTGTGTGGCGATAGGATCATCTTTTTAAATGAACTGTCCAGGTGGCTTACTGGTATTGACATACATAACATAATTATAGGTGGGCAACACTGTCTTGAATTTGGAGATGGATAAAAGCCCCCCTATAACCCACTCACCAGTGTATTATCGTAAAGCAGCTGAGGTAATTGGAAATTTGTGAAAAAACTTCCAACTATATGATGTATGGAGAGAGAAATATCCAGGGCTAAAGCAGTTTACATGGAGACGTAAGAATCCAGAAACAGCTTGTAGATTGGATTTCTTTCTAATTCATCAAGACTTAGAACAGAATGTGGTAAATGCAGAAATGAAAGCTGCTATAAGAACAGATCACCAGGCTATTATGTTGACAATAACACTGGAGCACTCAATTCGAGGCCCAGGTACTTGGCACTTTAACAACAGCCTCTGTGAAGACAAAATGTATAGGAATACTCTGATCACAATTATTGAGGAATGCCAAAATGATTTCAGTGGTCAAGATCATAGAACATTTTGGGATCTGTGTAAAATTAGGATTAAGGAAAAAACTAAAAAATATTGTCAGAATAAAGCTAGAATTACAGCTGAACGCTTGACTACCTTAGAAAACAGTCTCCGTGACTTAGAAAGAAAAGTAGATCATGAACCAAATAGGGAAAACATGGAAAAATATGATGAAGCAAAAAAACCAGCTAGACCAATTATATGCATATTACACTGAAGATTCGTTCAAAAGTGAAACACTATGTTGACGGAGAAAAATCCACGAAGTATTTCCTCAATTTAGAGAAATCAAACAACAAAAAGCATACTATAAGTAGCCTGAGAGTTGGTAGTGAAGTATTCTGCCACACTGCTGACATCCTCTGTGAAGCTAGGAAGTTCTATCAGCAGCTCTATAAAACACGTGTGGTAAATCCCGAAAGGGTAGATTGTTTTCTGAGAATTATAAACATAGACCATACTGTATCTGAGGAAGCAAAACAGCTACTAGATGAACCCCTGGTGAATAAAGGGTTTTCGGTTTTCGACGACTCCGAGCCGGCGGACGGGCTGCCACGGGCCAGGGTTCCGCAAGCCGGCGACACGGCCGACACATTGATTTCTGTGACACAATAAAAATATTGGTTCATTTCAATTCTTCTTGCTTCTGTGTATCTGTAGCGTTTACATCTCTCTCCACGGTATCATAGGTAATGTAATCCAGTATTTAGAGGTCAGTTATGCACATTACAGTTGTTTATTGCATAAAAAGTTGAAAGAAAAATGAAGTTAAGGGCGAAGTATAAATCACGTCTAAAAATAGACTGAATCCCAACGTTGAAATGAAGTATAAACTTAGACTAGATGTCTAATATACGTCTTTTGCTCAGTGGGATGGCAAAGCATGTGGACATTTGTGTGACACGCCACTTACCCTATAATAATAATCGCCGCCACCACCCGCTGCTCAAACGGCGTGAGGGTCTCCTCCCCCGGAACCCCACCTGTCTGGCCGGTACTCCTCCGGTCCGACCACTTTTTTTTAATCTCCGCGGGGGTGCGTGTCTCGGAACCCACCGAGTTCAGCCTCTCGCAAACTGTCTCCCACTCCAAGCGTTTTCGTTTTGCACTGACGCCACTGGACAGGCTGCCGAACAAAACACGCTGTCGCTCCTCCACCTCCGCCACCAGCACCGCCACCTCGCACGCCGTAAATTTCATTTTTCTTGTCATTTTGTCTGCGTGCGAGGACAGGGAGACCCTATTTAAATAAATCTGCATATTTATAGGAGGGCGTAACGGGGACGGGCCCGGTCACTCCGACATCTGCGCTCAATTCCAAGCTGATTGGGATTTATCAAGGAAACACACTTGGCTTTTGGCGCCCGCACACCTTGATACATACGGATTTTTTTCAGCGTGACGGACCTTGCGTGCGCTCGTTTCTGGTATGAGTCCCACGCAAGTGTTGATACATGAGGCCCCAGGTACTGATGGAATTACATCAGAATTGTATCATTGCTATTGGGATATTGTAGGAGTGTTTGTTACTAATTCAATCAGGGAAGGTCTTGCACATGAACAGCTAGCAGACTCCCATAAAAGAGCCATTTTGAAATTACTTTATAAAAAAGGAGACAACCAACTATTAGATAACTGAAGACCTATAAGTCTTGTAAACACAGATTTTAAAATACTTGCCCTTGTGCTAGCCAATAGGTTAAAGCCACAGTTACCATACCTAATCAATGAGAATCAAACTGCCTATGTAAAAGGCAGATTCATTGGACAAAACGTACGCCTTATTACGTATGCTATTGGCCATACAGATGAAATGCAAATTCCTGGTATAGTTCTCTTTCTAGAATTTCAAAAGGCATTTAATAGTGTAGAGTGGGTCTTTTTATTTAAAGCACTAAAGAAATTCAACTTTAAGAGTATGTTTCTAAGATGGATTCAAACAATTCATACAAACTGTAGTAGTGCAGTAGTCAACAACGGATAGACATCAGAATTCTTTGACCTTAGTCGGAGAATTAGGCAAGGTTGCCCTTTGTCCGCAATCTTATTTCTTTTTGCCATGGAAATTCTAGCACTGTATATAAATCAAAACTAGAAAAATTGCATTTCCTTGCAGAAAATGCATGGAAATGCTGAGTAGTAATAAAGTAAAGTAAAAAGTAGCAATAGCAGCAGTAGAGAAAGTAGAAATAGGAGCAATAGCAGTTAAAGTAGAGGGGAAAGTACTAGTTTAATTGACATTAGCAGTAGTTGTCTCCCTCACACGTCTCTCCATAAACTTCAACTGGTCCACAACTCCGCTGCCCGGATCATCACCAAAACCCCTTCGTCCCACCACATCAGCCCCATCCTACAGCAACTCCATTGGCTCCCGGTCCCACTTAGAATCCAGTTCAAAATCCTACTGTATACCTTTAAAGCCATCCACAACCTCGCCCCTCCTTACCTGTCTGACCTCCTCCACATCGCCACTCCATCACGCCGCCTCTGTTCCTCTTCCTCTCTCCACCTCACTGTGCCCCCTGTTCACCTCAGCACCATGGGGGGCAGAGCTTTCAGTCGCTCTGCCCCCCGATTCTGGAACTCTTTACCATCACACATCCGCAACATAGACTCCCCCCCCCTCTTCAAGTCCAAACTCAAGACACACCTGTTTAAACTGGCCTATCCCTCCCACCACCCCTAACTCACTTTTTAAAATTAAATTTCAATTGCTATTATTCATTTCTTTATTTATTCCTTTGCTGTTGTTCATGTCTTAATGTTGCTTTGTTGATTTTAACTGTTTTGATGATTGATGATTTTAATTGTTAATAGTGTTTTATTATTGTTTTATATGTTCTGTAAAGTGTCCTTGAGTGACGTGAAAGGCGCTTCAAATAAAATGTATTCTTATTATTATTATTAGTTGAATGAGTTTAAATTAGTTTGAAAAATTAAATGATAAATCATCACTGAGTGACTTTAAACTGTGAAAAATTTAAATGAATAAAAATCCTGAATACACCCCATTATGTCCTCAATGAGCTTAAATTTTGAAGCCCTGAATGGTTTCTGTAGGTTAAAGTTCATGGAAGGAGATAGGGGCCGAATTTTGTCAAGTGCTCTAGTAAAAGGTTTTAAATGTCACCCCCAGTGCTATGTGTACTGAGCCTGGCTTCATGTGTCTCATATGGCCATTAAAAGCAGCTTTCCAGTCAGCTGTGTCTCCAGGTGCACTAATTGGTTGCCATGGGGACCGTAGATGCATCACTACAGCAGGAGAAAGAAGGTTTGAAGATGAGAAACAAAATCCAAAACTATGCCCTGATGCTCATTCTCTGTAACGGCTACATTCATGACAAGAAACTTGTGAGAACCCCACGACTCTGCTGAACATATTGATACAATTAATTAATTATAATTAATTAATTATTTAAATTAAAAAAACACCCCATAATGTCCTCAATAAGCTGAATTTTTGAAGCCCAGAATGGTTTCTGTAGCTCAAAGTTTGTGGGTGGAGATAGGTGGTGAAGCAGACACATATTAACTGTGTGTACATTCAGGTCTTATAGACAGAGACACACACGCACACACATTGTCAGACTGTGTGTGTGTGTGTCTCATTAATGATTGCATCCTTTACAGCTGTGAGATCAAAGGCATTAACTGACCTACTGTTTGAATGAGAAACTGCCTGACTGCAGTGAATTTAGGGCCTCTGAACTTCTTCACATAGCGTGATTTCCTTAAATCCCAGAATGAAAATAAGAACATCGTACGAATCCTCCGCCCTTCATGAACACAATGATGTGTTTTTCATGTCTGTACTCTAAAAAATGTGGCCACAACAGCGAGTTTAAAAAGTCTGAGCCTGAGTGATCATCAGGATTTTCTGGGAGAAAAAATACATTAGGGTTAATGGGAGAGATTTCCGCCTATTTGGACAGTTGGTCACCTGCTGGCCAAGGGGTAGGATTTACTGATTTGAAACCCCTTTTGTGAGAAGCAGGACACATATAGGATCAATTTTCAGCCTGTCTCACTCTAGCTGTGAGGTCCCACTCTAGCGGCCAACATTCCGTGCAATACACACTAATGTTAAAACCTGAAGAGGTCAGAAAATCCTGTGAATTTTTGAACTGTCACTGTGAGAAAAGTATGAATGCCATGAAGATGGTGAATGAGTGAGTGAATGTCTGAAGATGTGTGAATATTTTAAAGTTTGAATTAAGTTTCTAGGTGAAAGTATGAATGAATGAGAAGAGGTTGAATTTGACTACGTCTGAAAGCCTTTTCCCATTGACTGCCATTATTATATATTAAGTTTTAAACAAATCTTAATATTTTGAAAAGTACAAATGGGATTAAAAATGTTGAAGATGTGGAATAATGCTGACGAATTTGTGAATATTTTGGTTTTTGAATGAAGTTTCTACATGGAAGTATAGAGGAGTTGAAGGCTGTTGAAGCTGGGATTCGAACTCGCGACCACTGAGGTAGAACCCAATGCTTAACCACTCAACTACGAAACCGTGAAGAAAACCGAGTTGAAGGCTTTTGAAGTTGTGGGAAGAAATGTGAGAAAAGCAGCCATTTTGAAAATTCTCAATGCATTTCTAATGAGAGAAATCACTCGGAAAATCGGGAATATCTCGGAAATATGAATGTTAGGAAAATTTTGAACACAAGCCGGAATCTCCTCAATCAGAGGAACATTTTGAAGTTTGAATGGTTTGAATATGTTGAAGTATGTGGAAGTAGTTGAGGGCCAAAAAACGGCGCAATAATAATAATAAAAATAAAGATTTGAATAACATATAGTGGGAATGCTTCGCAATCCCACTCAATAAAAATAAAGATTTGAATAACATATTGTGGGAATGCTTTGCAATCCCACTCAACTAGAAAATGAAATTTCTGAAGAAATTTTGAGTGGGATTGCTTCAGCTGAATTGCTATCGCTAAGCTGCTATTGCGAAACCCGGATATGAAACAATTGTTCCCTTGTCGGGATTTGAACTCGTGTCCACTGAGGAAGAACCCGTGTCCACTGAGGAAGAACCCGCTGCTTAACCACTCAACCACAAGACCATGAAGATAACTGAGTTGAAGGCTTTTGAAGTTGTGGGAAGAATTGTGAGAAAAGGGGCCATTTTGAAAATTCTCAATGCATTTCTAATGGGAGAAATCGCTCGGAAAACCGGGAATATCTAGGAAAGTATGAATGTTAGGAAAACTTTAAATACAAGCTGGAATCTCCTCAATCAGAGGAACATTTTGAAGTTTGAATAGTTTGAATATGTTGAAGTATGTGGAAGTAGTTGAGGGCCAAAAAACGGCGCAATAATAATAATAAAAATAAAGATTTGAATAACATATAGTGGGAATGCTTCGCAATCCAACTCAATAATAAAGATATGAATAACAAATAGTGGGAATGCTTTGCAATCCCACTCAATAATAATAAAGATATGAATAACATATAGTGGGAATGCTTTGCAATCCCACTCAAAAATAATAAAGATATGAATAACATATCAATAATAAAGAAAATGGCCGACGGGAAGAACAATAAGTGCAAATGCTTAATCAGCATTTCCACTTAACAAGAAAAATTGCATTTCCTTGCAGAAAATGCGTGGAAATGCTGAGTGCTGAAAGCTGAAAAAGCAATGCAAAACTGCTAAAAAAAAATGGAGGAAGGTTTAAATGTAAAATTGGTTAAAGGGCTGGAGAAAGAGGAGTAGAAATTGGATGAAAGTGAAAATTGCCTAAGTACAAATAGTATGAATGTGCTTCAACAATTAAAATTGCATTCATGCTAAATAAGGCTACAGTAGTCATGTAAGCAGTAAAAGTAGTTTTAGAATAGAAGAAGTAGAAGTCAAAGCAGTAGAGCTCGTGGTAGAAGTAACAGCAGAAGTGAAAAAAAATTAAGAGAAGCAAGAGTAGTGGAGGTAGAAGTGAAGATACAAGTTAAAGTGATATAAGTAGTAATTGTAGTGGTAAAACTGGGATTTGTTTGAAGAATTAAAACATACATAAATAATGAGAATGATTTTGAAATGGAAAAAATTTCAAATAATTAGAAGTCCTAAAGTGTTAAACAGGTTTGAAGTATCAGAAAGGTTTGAATCAGTTTGAATGAGTTTGGATTTGTCTGAAGAATTTAATAATGCATGCATAATGAGAATAATTTTAAAGTGGGGAAAAGTTAAATGAATATACATCCTGAATACACCCATAATGTCCTCAATGAGCTGAATTTTTGGAGCCCTGAATGGTTTCTGTAGGTCAAAGTTTGTGGTAGGAGATAGAGCCGAATTGCTCTGTGTACTGAGCCTGGTTTCATGTGTCTCATATGGTCCTGAAGGAGAGGGATAGTTTAAAAGTTGAACGGTTGAAATAGGACAAAGTATGAAGGAGTTGAAAAGTTGCAAAAAAAGGTACGTAATAATAATAATAATAATAATAATAATAATAAAGAAACAGGAGGATAACAATAAGTGGAAATGCTTAATCAGCATCACCACACGACTCTACTGTAAAAGATATCACAACAACGTGAAAAGCCTCTTGGTGAAAGTATGCTGAAGTTATAAGGCTTAGAAGGTGGAAGAATAAAAGGAAGAATTGGAAGATTTCCCCATTGACTTCAATGTTAAAATTTTGGCACAAAAAGTTTAAAAAAAAAAAAAAGTATAAAGGTTAGAAATGAGAAAAGTAATAGCCCTAAAGTCCTTAAGGAGAGGAATAGTATAAAGTTTGAATGGTTGAAATCGCACTAAGTATGAAGGAGGAGAAAGCGGACAAAAAACGGCGGAAGAATAATAATAATAATGAAGAAAAAATGGCCGACAGGAATAACAATAAGTGGAAATGCTTAATCAGCATTTCCACTTAATAAAGAAATAGCAGAATAACAATAAGTGGAAATGCCTAATCAGCATTTCCACTTAAATAAAGAAACATGAGAATAACAATAAGTGGAAATGCTTAATCAGCATTTCCATTTAATAATAAAGAAATAGGAGAATAACAATAAGTGCAAATGCTTAATCAGCATTTCCACTTAGTGAAAACATCAAAGCTATCAATTTGTCAGATGGAAGTGCTACCCATGAGGTTAAAACCTCACAAGTAGCAGATGATACTACTCTACTGCTCGGTGATGAAAGGTCACTAACTACAGCACTAGAAATGATATCATCTTTTGGCAAAGTTGCAGGCCCTGAATTGAACTTGGAGAAAACCGAAGCAATTTGGGTTAGTTGCTGGAAACTTAGGCGAAAAGATATCAGTGGAATAAGGTGGCCAACTGGTCCTGTAAAATCACTTGGTGTATATTTTGGGTACAACAAACTTCCATGTGAGACGAACCAATGGAATGAGAAAATCAATAATATAGAAAATGCTTCAAATCTATGGAGACAAAGGAATCTCACATTATATGGCAAAGTAACTATTCTGAAATCATTGATTGCAGCTAAAATTCTGTACTGGGCTACTGTGTGTGATGTGCCAAATAATGTGACTGTCAGGCTGAATACTTTTTTTTTTTTACTTTCTCTGGTCTGGAAAGAGAGATAAAATCAAAATATCTGTTATTTTTGGAGATTATAATACAGGGGGTATAAAAATGTTAGATATTCAATCTCATATAGAAGCACTTCATGCTGGCTGGGTAAAGCGCATCGTGGATACATCATCAGGAGATTGGAAACTGCTACCAAAATTGTATTTAAATAGACCAGGTAAAGATTTCCTTATCTTAAGAATGCACTTTAAAGAAAAAAAACACAGCCCAGATTTGACAGGAATTCCCACTTTTTATCAAGGCATTACTCAAAGCTGGCACAAAGCAGGAGGTGGTTTTGTGAAGGAACAGTGTACAGCAGATGAAGTCGGAAACCATATCATCTGGGGATCTGCCTTTTTAACAGACTCTAGAGGGCAGTCCCTTTTCTATAAACATTGGATTGACTCAGGCATAATTTATCTTAAAGATCTATCTGTAAAGGAAAAACCAAAGCTTAAAAACTGGATAAGAGAAATTAGCGAATTATGTATCATCAGAAAGGCAATCCCCCAAAAATGGCTCCCACTTCTGAACAACAGTATAACATTAAGAAATAACAATACTGATGCACACATTGTTCTGACAGGCTATACTTGCAAGATAAGCTATAAGCTGTTGTTAAAAGAAAAAATAAAGACATCATATATGCAGACATATTGGGATGCTGCACTAGCTGACCAAACAAACAACATCCTGTGATGCAATGTGTGGCAGAGACAAACAATAAAATTATCTCCAGATAGGAAATTGGCCGAATTCAATTTCAAAATATTACATGGAATTCTTCCAAATATGTCAAACCTGTATAAATGGAAGCTGGTCCCCACTCCTCTATGTGCTGTTTGTTTGGTAAAAGAAGACACAGAACATATGTTTGTTTCATGTCGTTGTCTGGGTGGCTTTTGGAACCAGGTTTCTGCACTTATGTCTCAGCTCAATATCACCTTTTAGAGTAGAACTGTCAAATATTATTTTGGGTCTCAGCACATCAGCAAGTAACAGATATTGTACAAATCTGACTCTAGCAAAAGCAAAACTGTCCATATTTAAAATCTGGATGAGATATAAAGATGATCAACAATGGTTTTCTACAGCAGACAGGGTATCTGTCTTTCTTTCGGCGCTGAGGTCAAGAATAAAAATTGACCTTTTGGTGGATGAGTCTAGAGGTAACGAAACCTGGGCAAACTTATTGTGGTTGTTGGACTGAACATAAAGAAAAAGGTTACCTATATTCTCTTTTTCTCTCTTTCCTCTGTATGTATACACTCCATCTATTTGTATATACATGATGTGTGAGGTTTTTTATGCATCTTTTTTATACGCTGTTTTGTAATGTGAACCTCCTAATAAATTAGTAAAAAAAAAAAAAAAAAAAAGAGATCAGAGACGGTGAGGACAGAGCGATGAGGGTGAAGATCAGAGACGGTAAGGACCGAGTGATGAGGACGAAGATCAGAGACGGTGAGGACCGAGTGATGAGGACGAAAAACAGGGACGGTGAGGACCGAGTGATGAGGACGAAGATCAGAGACAGTGAGGACCGTGTGACGATTATAAAAGATCAGAGACAGTGAGGACCGAGTGATGATGAAAAAAACAGAGGGCCCTTGAACTCACCACTTGGACAACTTTGAGCCCAAAGCGCGAAGTATCCAGGTGATCTGAGGGGACCAAGCACCAGGAGGACTTAGGATGAGACTCTGTGGTCGGGGAGTAGACCGCACTGGAGGCCATGATGGAGCAGCTGAACAAACACAAACACACACACACACACACTTTAAACAGCAGAAACAAATGTAACAATCCTTAAAAACTCACTTCCTGATCACGGCCGACACCATTTTTGTTGTGCCGCCGATCATGACGTCATTTGATTGGTTAGTGTAAATTCTCAGTCTCCGGTCTGTGTGATCGCACAGACGAGTCACAGCGGCAAGTTTTTAGAGTTACAGAGGAGCGTTCAATTCCATCAGACACCGCCGATGAAACAGTTGGTGATTCTACACCAAGGCTAGCTGCAGCAAAAGGGATGGACCGCCCACTGAACGCTTATCCTCGGGTTTACAGCGAGCTCTCTGGAGCGCTAGATGCCATCAGTGTTTTTAACGACTGAAATCAGAGGTCTCACCGGGTCTACAGACTAGGGCCCGACCGATATGGATGTTTTGGGGCCGATGCCGATACCAATTATAAGGGGGGATAAAAATCTGATTACTGATTAATTGGCCAATTTTTTAAAGTTTTTATTTAGTTATAGAAAATATATATACCGTACATATACTGTAGGCTACTGCTCTTCACGCCAACAGGAAGACTGACTAATCAAACTCAGACCAGAAAAGCATTTTTAACTACCCCACTGCTGTGAGGCAGTTCGTGGATGAAGATTGTCATGAGGTTGCTGCGCCATCTATAGGATAAGTCGGGAAACATTTCATATGGCGGAACATTTTCAAAGTGAAACCGAATCTTACTCCCCAAATTTTATTTCTGAAAATATCGGCGAAAATCAGCGAGTTTTGGCTGATTACCGATAAGTCTCAAACGGGCTAAAACTGGCTGATTTCATCGGCTCCCCGATAGATCGGTCGGGCCCTACTACAGACTTAGGCTGCACGATATTGGAAAAAACTAACATTGCGATTTTTTTCAACCCTGCGATATATATTGCGATATTAAAAAATAGAGGAATTTTCACCAGATGACCTGAATAGCACTTAATGTTATGCTGCACTGCTGAAATCTTGAGGACAGTTAACCTGCACTGTTCGTACCTCTTTTTGTGAATGTTAGTCGAGTGGCTTCTGTCTGTCTCAGAGATATTTTTAGCTTTTATTGTGCTGGGACGTTATTGTGGCAACAGGTGAACACAGAACACGTGTTTTGGTCGACATCATCCTTCTTTTAACCGAAATAATTCCAGATAATTGACTTTCCTTTTCTTTTTGGCAACAAGTCTTCATCTTCGGTGGTTTTCTCTGTTTGTTGCTCAGTTTGCGATCGTTGTTGTTGTTACCACCGGGGTTGTGCTGAGAAACGCATGTCCTCCGAGAATTGCATGCACCTCACAAAACGCGCACTGCTTATAGTAGAGTGGTCCACGGAAATGTACAATTTAAAACCCATACAGTTCTTATTTGTTGGGCTAAACAGTGATGAGTAATGTTCTGAAAGTAATTCTCAGCGTACACGTTTCTCGGCTCAACTCCGGTAGCGACTCCCTCCATGTGCAGGACATGTGCAGGGGTGGGTTTCCTCCTCTCTGATTTTGATTGACAGCTGGCAGGGTAGTCTGATTGGCAACTGAGTAAAGAACAAAGGTGATTGGTGGATCGCTGCAAAGCACATGCAGAGTCACATGCAGTGTATCTCAGTCAGTTACCCTTGAAATTAACTGAGTTCATTCGCCTTCGACATCGCAGGCTCTGCGATGTGACTATCGCGCACACGTACATCGCGATGACGATGCTTAAGCGATATATCGTGCAGGCCTACTACAGACCCACCCACCCAGTCTGGGGGGGGGGGGGGCACCCGTTTAGCTATTGCACCTAAAGACAATAGCTAAACGGCAAGTCTAACTGTCCGGACAGAGAAAGGTCCTCACACAGTCATCAAATATTTAACCGCCTGTTTTCTTACCGTGACAGGAAGTCACATTATTGAGCCGAGCCTCTCACACATTCATCTCTGGGTCACAAACATTCTTTGAATTATCGGAGACTTCTCCAAACACAAAACTCAAACTCCTGACAGAACATCGTCAGACTATCGTCAGTATATTGCTCATCTCATCCTGTCTGAGGCGGGAGGTCAACGGGAGGTCACAGAGCTCCAGGAGAACTTTAGAAGAGGAAAACCACCAAGCCTGAATCCTAAAAATAGAAACATTCTCACTCTGAAGAAACTGCCTGGCTGGGAACCAGAACCAGTTTTATAACCGCCATCCTCACCACAACCAGAAGTTCTATTAGCAGGAGGGAACAGATCCAATGACGTAGGCGATGAGGATGGACAAAGATGGCGGCGAGTGCACATACAACGTGGTTCATGTCCCCTGTTATGAGTGGTCTGTGTAGTTTGTGCCTTTGACCAGCAGGGGGCAGAATATCAGGACTGCTGCAGAGACCGGTCTTTAGAATGACTTAAGTCCTTCACAGAGGGGTCTGTCCCTTCATTTCGAGGACGCTGAGACCCTGACCTGCTGTCCCGTTTATTTTGGGTCTTGCATACCTGCAAAAGTACTCAGGACTGTAAACTAGCTCACTGTATCATTAAGAATTTAGTTAAAGTGGTTTTTAAATTTTTACAAGTTTATCTTATTCTTTATTTACTTTGTATGTTACTAAAATGTTGAACTAATCTCTAGTTTCTTTTGTTTTTAGTACAGATGCTTTAAAACTAGCAGTTTAAAAAAAAAATCGTGACAATAATTGAGATCGGAGGATACAGCAAAATATATCGTGATCATTTTTTTTGCCAGATCGCCCAGGCCTACTACCATGTCATGTGACCAAAAGACCTAAAATTGATTTCTAATAATAGTACTGAGGTCGATCAATAAGACAAATATTTGATCAATTTTCATTGTTCCCCTAAAGTCTTTGTGTGCTCCTTACTTCTTTAACTTAAGAGAACATGTGAACAAAAGTTAGTGTCAAGCCCTCAGCCCTGCTTTGTCTCTGGATTAGGGCACGACCAATTTATCGGCGAGCCAATTAAATCGGCCAATTTTAGCCTGTTTGAGACTAATCCGTAATTGGCCAAAACTCACTGATTTTCGCTGATATTTTCAGAAATAAAATTTGGAGAGTAAGATTTGGTTTCACTTCGAAAATGTTCCGGCATTTGAAAAGTTTCCTGACTTATCCTGTAGATGGCGCAGCAATCTCATGACAGTCCTCATCCACTAACTACCTCACAGCACAGCAGACTGACGGATCTGAAGCAGGCAGCTCAGGGACGCACGGAGGAGAGTGGTCCGCCTCAACGGTAAATAAACCAGTTTGTGAAATACACAATAAGTCAACAAGTTTCAGTTCAACCTACTTCACAATGTTCCTCACTGTGCTGGTCTCGGTCACACTGAGTTAACGGTGAGGCATCATGTAATATGCAAGCTAAAGTTAGAGTTAGCCACCTGCTATTAGCCTTGCTACGCTGTGCCAGTAACAGTAGAATAAACAACAGTATACATTAAGTGATCAAGCTACTTCTCTTACTGATGCAACTGCATGTCTCCATGGAGTTAAGACATGGAGGCACTGATCGGCGGGCGGGTGGGGGGTAGTTGAAAACGCTTTTCTGGTCCAAGTTTGATCAGTTGGTCTTCCTAGCAGTGTGAAGAGCAGTAGCCTACAGTATATCTACAGTATATGGGTCAATGATGTGACGCCTAAATATTCTGTCCGGCTGTATTTTCTTTATGTTACAAAGAGTTTTAAATGTAAAAAAATATACTATGTGTAGTATCTCTCTAATATATGGAGCCACTTCAACTTTTCAAAAATCAGGATTGTTTTGTAATTTTTCTGAACTTCAAAGTGTCAAAATATCATGTGGTGCGACCGTCCAGCCATGACTTCTGTTTTGAAAACTTTTTTGAAATTACTCTAAATCTATTACAATTTAGTTTCTGCAATATTCGGCATAATTTTCAAAGTTTTTTTATTCCTGTACAAAATTGCAAAGCTTTTGCAGTTATATTTTTTTCATAATATACAAACAAATTTTGTCCGATCGTGTTCATTTCATTAAATATCATGTGGTGCGACCACCAAGAAATGACCATTTTTGACACTTTTGTGTCACCATTTTGTCATAGAGCTATGGAAGCAGAAAGAGGGTTCGTGGCTCTCTCATTTGTTTAAAAAAAAAAGACCTTTTCAACTGCTTTAATGGCATTGCCACTTTTGGATATCATGTGGTATGACCTCAAACAAAACAATCGATTTAAGTTATTTCCACAAATATGTATTTTAATTATAAATTTCATAGTGACCTTTTGTGGGAAGCTAGTGAGCTTTGTTTATGTGACTAATCCTGTATCAGCAAGATTTGACTGAACTTGAAAATGTCATGCGGTGCGACCAATTATCATGTGGTGTGACCACTGCAGATTGTTTTCCATCATAAATATATGCCCTAGATTGGCAGTATTTACGTTTTTCATATTCAATTGATGATTGATAAACACTAAGTACTTAATTTTTAGTATTATTTTGAATTTTTTTTGTTATTTGATGAGTCATTTTGCTAACATTTCTAAAATAATGGTTAGTTCATCGCTGTACAAAATAAGGAAAAAAATATTAAAAACATGCCATTTCACTTAGGGTATGTATGCCGTTGTTAGCAATTTATTTACTTTCATGTATCTATTTAAGTCATTTTAATTTATTTTACCAGATGCCACTGCCAAGCAAAGTTAAAAGCGCTCGCCATAGGCAGCGTGTCAACTCTGACCCTGCAGCATGTTGTTCATGCGAGGACTGGTCAAAGATTGGGCCAAGATTGTTGACATCGCTGCACGGATGGTGAGAGGAGCGTTTCGCCGAGAGCGTTATATTCATGATCGTTCAAATCCCTTTGATTTACCCGATGACGTTCTCTATGAATGTTACAGGTTTTCCTCGGACGGCCTCAATAGTCAGGTAACATGAAGTCGAAGCAATACACTAATATTTGCCAAGCTCCAAGTTCAAGTTTCATGCGGCATATCAGTCATCATTCAGAATTTATTGAAGCAGATTAGAAAACTCCTCTTAACCCCAAATGTGTCTGCAGATGAAATGTGACCATTAGATGATGGAGAAAAAAGAAAAAAAGGCAGTGTGAGGAAATCACTGTTTACGCGTTGAAATGTGTACAAATAAAATCTTCCAGTAAACCTACTAACCACTTTGACAGATGTTTTTAGATTTATTTTTATTTGCTCCCACATACTTTTTTCCCCACTGCTGTTGTATCTGAAATAATGAGGTCAATGATGGAGGCGATCACACGCTGCATGACAACATATTAGGGGGCCATAAATTTATGAACGCACAAATGTAATTTACACGATCAATGATTTTTTTGCCAGCAGTCCCTCCGGCTTTTAGCGGCTGTCCTGCTCCTCACTGTTATAATGTTGCGGAACTCCTCGTATTAGTGTAAAATAATGCTCTGTTCTTCGGCTGTGAAATATGACATGCAGCCTTCTCCATTGTGGAGATTGGTCCGGTGGCACTGACCCCACCCCCTTTACGTGTGCACGCACAGATCTGACCACAACTGAATTTAGTTAGCTAGTTGAGATCCTGCCTCGTAGTACAGCTGATCGGGATTACGGAGATCTGGTGAAGTTGAGTGAGTTGTGGCAGAGTTATGCTGGGTGTGTTAATCCAGCTTCATAGTGCAGGCCTCTGGACACATAGACACAGAGTTAAATTTTTGTCAAAAAGGGAAATAAAATGTTTGTGTTCATATTTGAAATGTTAATAAAATTTGGTTTGAATATAAAATTTGCATGAAATTTATTGTTCATAGGTCTCTTTAAATTGATTTTAATGATACAAGGTCTTCAGGTCATTTGGCGCAACCACCAATCATATGTTGCGACCAATAATGACATTAATTATATCAAATACAAACTAAAATATCTAATTTCTGTAACTGAGACATTAATACCTGATACAATATGCTTACATGAAAGGTAGTGTAGGAGCCAGATTGGGGTTTTGCAGTTCATTGTTATGTATTTTTTGTGCCAACAGATGGTGCTATTGTGCCTGTCTATTTAATAGGTGGGTTGATTAGGACAGGTGCGCACACCTGGGAAGCCGAACAGTTTTTTGACCGTGTGAAGTGGTCTTGTGTCTTGTCATACATAAAATAATGAATGAGTAAATAAATCAAAACAACAGAAGATATGGACGGTGTGACATGTGACATTATTCCACCTACGGGCACGCGTCAACTCAAGCAAAAAGGTGTTCACCACAAGTAACAGCATTGGAAAGCTGTTATAGGTAGTTTCAAAACATTTTTATCAGTATGATGCAATTTAAAGAAAAAAATAGTCACTGAACTAAATTAGATATAGCGACTGTGACATTATAGAGCTAATATATGAGATCATTATTTACAAAAACTCAAATAAAATGCAAACGCTTTGTTCCTATGTACTTGATATTACAGACAATTTGTAAAAAACTTTGGAGTATGTTGAAAAAATTTAATAATTTTGAGATAATTGATGGTTGCACCACATGACATTTTTTAAGGCCACAGGCAATTCATCTACATGAAAAAACACTAAAATTGCCTAATTTAAAAATTAAACTTTAATTTTTGTATACATAACATCCTTAGTGTTTGAACCGTTGCAAAAGATATTCTTATTTTTGGTATTTTAAAATTGGCATGTTGAAAAACCTTATACTTCATTGACCCATATACTGTATATGTTTTTTATAATTTCATTTTAAAAATGTTTTAAATCGGCCAATTTATTAAAACGTATTAACCCCCCCCAATAATCGGTATTGGCATCGGCTCCAAAAAATCCATATCGGTCAGGCCCTACTCTAGATCATGTCTTTCAAAGTCCATACTGCTGACCCTCCTCAGTTCCCACTCTGCTCACTCTGTCTGTCATATATGAGCTGAAATAAATCAGCCTGTCCTCCAGGAACCTTTTCTGGCCTTTAAAAACACGTCTGAAGTGGGGCGGTCTACCTCCATGAGATCAGGACAAAATCCGGATCAACAAAACCAGAGTCTGAACCCCAGAGAAGATCAGCAGAGCCCAGATTTACTGATCTGTTCAACCTTTAAACAGCTGATCCCAATCACACCAATAATACCACACAGCTGTTATTGATTTTGATGGATTTGATCAAACACAACAATCCTAAAATAACAGACATTAGTCCACATAGAAGAAGAAGAACCTCACGACCACAAACATCCGTCAGACAGATTTGACTCAAGGATACAAACACATCCGGTCAGAATAGGACTTTGATGAAATTTTACAAAGATAAAATGAACACGTGGGCCTCACAGGAAATGTTTTTAAATGTTTTTTTTCCGTACATTTGTGACAGAAAATTCTTATTTTTAATCAATAACCACTCTTCTACACACCACGAGGTTACCAGGGAGGTGCCACAAGGATCAATTTCAGGACCGTTACTTTTTAATTTGTACATGTTACCTCTGGGTGGTGTCATCAGGAGACACAGCATCTCTTTTCACAGTTATGCAGATGACACTCAGCTCTATGTGTCCGTGTCTCTTGATGATAACAGCCAGTTGGGTCACTTTTAAATTGCCTTTTAGATGTAACAGCCTGGATATCACAGACAACACTGAGGTTTTAATAATTGGTTCAAAGGCTCAGAGAGAGAAACTGACCCCTAAACTCCACAAAATAGGACTTCACCCCAGACAAGAAGCACCAAATCTCGGAGTGGTCTTTGATGCTGACTTTAACTTTAAAACTCATGCTAGGGGGGGTCACTAAAACAGCCTTTTACCATCTTTTACCATCCTACATTGCTAAAGTATGACCTTTTCTCTCTCTGAGTAGGGATGGGAATCGAGAGGGTTGAGAACCGGTTCCAAATGGTTCAATCCATCGAATATCATTTACATTTTATCTTAACAATTCCTTTCTTCCGGGTGCCTTGAAAAGCAGTCTTGCGAGTGCCAGTCTATGCGAACGGGAACAAGTACAGAGGAAAAAACATGGCGGACGATACGAAAAGTAGGCAGAAACAAGCTAAAGCATGGTTTAATTTTACTAAGAAAGACAACAACAGTGCAACATTTGTCAAGCAGTGATAACATGCAAAGATGGAAACATCAGCAACATGCTTCAACATTTGTCAACGGGGCACGGCATCAAATATAAGGAGTCACATGTATGCAATGCTCTCCTCTGGTGTTCTGCCGTAGAATGCACTAGTGCTGCAACTAACGATAATTTTTTTGTCGACTAATCTATGGACTAGAAGTCCGATTAATCACGATTAATCACTATCTTCTTTATTTATAAACACCTATTTCCGGGGTGTCGGCATTTCAGGTGCTCATGCATCGCCGTGGTGCTGCCATGGTAGGAAAGCTGAGCTTTGATCAACGTGTTTTTTTGGTTTGTTCTCCGTAAAAATGTTCCCAAACTTTTGAAGTTTTGGGTCAGAGTTTTGGAGCGTCTTTTTCAGTTTGTTCTGCCATAATGTGTGCACTCTTCTTCTGTGTTTACTCGCGGGATGTAAACAGCGAGCGCTACTGCCCCCAGCACATCCTGTAGTGCACTGCAGTTATAGATGAGCATGAGGCGCCGGCATGTGATTCTTAACAACAATAACACGACGTATCGACGCTTAATTTTCGTGTCGATGAATTGTCGTGTCGACGTAATCGATTACGTCGACTAATCGTTGCAGCCCTAGAATGCACCCTATCTGCTCATTAGCTTCTTAAAGTGGAAGAAAAATGATCTCATATTTAAAAAAAAAAAAAAAGGGGAAATGGATCATGACAACATGTCAAATGAAGCAGCAAACTTTCGTTCTGTTTTTATGTGTCTCAAAAATGCACACATAGAGGTGTTCTTGGGTTTATAAACTGTACAGTAAGCTGTCAAGGTAGAGAACTTTATATTTTCAGGACAGCAAATATTCTGAATCAGAGGACTATTGTTTTCGGCTTATCTGAATAGCCTGAATGAAGTAATTAAAGGCACACGCTTTAGAATCCACCCAATGGTAAGGAAAACTTGGATTATTTCACCTTGTTATATACTTTCAACCGCGCTCCTGTCAGGGGTGCATTCTACGGCACAACACCTGTTGAACACTGGTCGTCAACTGCTGCTGCCCCGTCTCAGCATGGCACTGAAGTTACATATGATAGGGTGACAATACGTCCTCTTTTACCCGGACATGTCCTCTCTTGGGGGGCTGCCTGGGGGAGTTTGTAAAATCCTTCAAATGTCCAGAACGTGTATCCATTGATTATAAAACAGTGCAGCGCAAAAAACAGTGCAAAAAAAAAAAAATCAAAATTGTCCGCCCTGCGTAGTAGTGTCCTCTTCAGATTCAGAATATGGTCACTCCAAAGTATGTCCTTTGTTAACATAAGCACAATGAATGTCAGAAATGCTGAATAAATATAATTTTGTTCGATTATTTTAGACTCTCACTGAAGGTGGCATACATGTGTTTCTGTTATCAGAGAATTTTAAGTTAAGGGTGAAAACCTATAGTATACTTTTTTTAATCGAAGAAAGGCATTGATAAGGGAAAGAGATAAGAGGAAAGAGCATTACACCCATTTTAAAGTCTTTGCACTGGCTGCCTGTTAGTTTTCGCATAGATTTTAAAATTCTTTTACTAGTTTATAAAGCTCTACATGGCCTGGCACCAGAATACCTTACAAAGATTATTTTAATTTATGAACCAGGGCAGCCTCTCAGATCCTCTCAATCTTCTCTTTTAGTCGTTCCACAGAGCAGAACAAAAAGATTTGGTGATGCTTCTTTTAGCTGCTACGCTCCAAACCTGTGGAACAAACTTCCAGAGAGTCTGAGACAAGCTGCATATATAGAAATCTTTAAACGTAGCCTAAAAACTCATCTATTTAGCCTGGCTTTTATGTAAAGCTTCATTAGTTTAATTACTATTATAATTTATTTATTTTTTAGTATCACTTTTGACCTTATTTTATCAATAAATTCAAGTTTATATTTTGTCCGTTTTAGTCTATTTTAATAACTTTTATTTTTCATGTCCTGATGTAAAGCACTTTGAGCTGCAATTTTATTTGTATGAACAGTGTTATATAAATAAACTTTGACTGATTGAAATTTATACTAAATATACTTGATTGCATATAAGTAATATTAATTCTGAATTTTATAACACTGATTATCATTATTATAATATGCAAATAATTATAATAAGTAACCTATGTAGTGATGAGCAGATATCTTTGTGTTTAACATGTAGGAATTTATACAGATCTTGGTAATTAGATTTATTTTAAATCTCTAATTTGAAAGGGAGGAGCAGGACTTGATAAACTCTTTGCTTCATTCTGTTTCTTCTCAAAAAGTTTATTTTTGACAAACATATGTTAGTGTAAATTTCTTTGACATACACTTGTTTGGAGTACATATTATTTTGTTCAGTCTTTTTGTTTCTAGTTGTTTTTTTGTTGTTGTTGTTTATGTTCTTAAAGTTTGAGATAAATAAAGAAAGAAAGAAATTTTGAACCCTGATCTGCTCTCACTGAGGATCGTTTCGAGGACTTGAACATCACTGAGCAGGAGCAGCCTCTCTGATCAGACTGTCTGATCAGATCTGATTTCTCATTGGTCTGTGGGTTGGAATGAATTCATTTGTATTTAACTGACCCAGTTCATCATCACACAAACTCCTCGGTCTTCACGTCTTTAACCCTCATGACATCTTTAGAGGTTTTCATGTTGAATTTTTCCTCTGAACAAAGAGTGAAAGTGGAGACAGCACAGGTAGTGTGCAGGTGTGCAAACACTGATAAGAGATATTTACACAGCTTATAAAACTGACCTAAAAGGACAATGGTTCAACATTCACCAGATGGACTCTGTGACTCATTTTATTACACATCATTACACACCAGCACACCAAACTATGTGTAAAAGCTTATAAATTTAGAGACTGGTTCCTGTACCACAGGTAAAAGGATCGCACAGTGTGGTTTACAACCTTTCATTATGCAAAAGAGGTTTTTGTTGAATTCGGCGTGTGTGTCCTCCTCTTTGTAACACTGACCCCATCTTTAATAAGTCACTGAAACAGATCTCTGTCCTAAACCGCTGCAGTTTTATGGGACAGAGTCCGAGGGGAAAACCAGGCAGACAAACAAAAGGGACTGTCTTTAGTAAACCACAAGGACTAAGACCACGCGGTATTCAAAAATAATGTTCAGTGTGATAAAAAGTCAATTTTACTGGATGAACACTCCCTCTTTTTTTTTTTTTTTACCACCAAAGAGTTAAAATATAAACCTGTAGGTTTTAAAAGGGAGTCCGGTGATCAGCGAGAGATGGAGCGCCGTCATCATTGGTAAACTTCGGCCTGAAATCGGACAAAGTTCCCGCCACAAAAGGAGGAAAGATTCTGGTGAAACGACGATAAAAATTTGAGTTTTTAGAGAATCAAACTTACTGTTCAGGTTTCCTCTGGTTCACAGATAACAAGATTGTAGCTCCAAGCTTCAACTTTGACTCTTTCTGCTTCGTGTCTCTGCTCAACTCACCTCTGACTTCCGCGTTTATTCCGCTGACCGTCAAGACGGACGAAGGACAAAGGTTTCCGGTACAACTTTTCAAATTAAAAGTCTAGCCTGTACATGAGGAAATCAGTTTTTAAAACGTCAATATTTCATGGTAATAACAGGACAGGTGCGCAACCCAGACATGAACTTACAAATTACAAGGTAAAAAATAAAAATAATAATAAAATAAGAGGATAGACGGTTGCGTTTAAAATAAAGGAGAACTTAACTTATATAAACTGTTTTTGTGCTGAATTAGTTCAGAAGAATAAAGTCTAAGCAAGATGAAAATATTTAAAACAAATATATATAAAAATAAAAATACTCGAAATATCTTATTGATAATTTCTGTTATTGTAACAATTTTATTTTTTTAACTGTTGGTGGTCTTCAGGTGATCAGATATTTCACCAGGAGACAAATTCAGACCGTACTTTTCCAATTTCATTTGAAGTTAAAATAAATAAAATAATATGATTTTCAGACGAAGAACACATTTTCATGGTCTTTAACTGAACACGGAGCAGGAGCAGGGGTATGCTTTAATTTGAAGTACAGTACAGTGACTTCCGGTTTTTTGTTAATTTTAAATTCCTCTCTCTTTGCACATGAATACCCCTTTATTCCACCACGGGTCAGGAGCTGCTGAGAAAACAGTCGATTAAAAATAAATAGTGTGAAAGTGTGGGCTCAGTACCAACAGTTAAAATATAGATCATAGTTACTGCATATAAAAATGTATTTTTATTTTATTTTTACTCATTTAACCTTTATTTAAGGTTTCATCAGGATGACCTGGACAAGATTTCAGCAGCACACATTATTCAAAAAAATAAATAAAAAAAATAAAAACTAATCATGATTGAAAAGTGAAAAATTACTCCTAGTTTTAGCCACACTCAGGTATTTGAAATCATGATGAAGCATCAGTGTGTTTGTGTGTTTCATGAGATCAAACCTAAACCTGTAAATGAAATAAATCCACAGACTGCATTAAAACCTCAGAAAACAGGAAAGACAATTGATGTTTGTTAACACATTTCCTTAAATTTAGAGAAACTGAACAGGGTTTGGTTTGGGCTGATGAAGTTCCTCCTGCTCCCTGTGCTCCCTGTACTCAGCCTGCAGGGGGCACTGCAGCCCTCTGTCTTCACCCTCTATCCCCCCCTCCACCTTCTCCCCCTCTAAGCGTGGCTTTCCCCGCTATAAAAGGAGGCGAGGCGTCTGGAGGCTGAAGAGACTCTCTGACAGTCACAGGAGGAGGAGGAGGAGGATGAAGGTGTGTGTGAATCCTCTACAGAGCTGATCTCAGGTCAGACTTTCAGGGCTCAAACTGGAAACTTCCTTACAATTTTCTGACTGCAGAGCTGCTCCTTCATGTACCTGTGAACAGGTGAGTCCATGGACTGAGACTCTCAGACTGACACCAGATGATCTCCCAGTTTTATTTCAAATTATTACCTGATTATTATCTCAGATTATTACCTGATTTTACCTGATTATTATCTCAGATTATTATCGTATTTTTACCCGATTATTGTCTCAGATTATTACCCTATTTCTACCTGATCATTATCTCAGATTATCATCTGTTTATCTCAGCCTCTTTCACTCCTTTCACGTGTTTCCCTCATTCCTCTGTTGTTTGTTTCATCCCTCAGTACCTGCTGCTGCAGCTTTAAGTTGTTTACCTTCATATTTACAGTCTGCTGCTGTGCTCCATGATTTGGTGTAGTTCACTCTAAAAAATTGTGTTTGGTGGTGAAAAAGCTGGTGATCCTCTCTGTCTGTGTATCTGATGATGTGAACACTGAACCTGATTCTAATCCTAATGAATTTATCATTCAGATTGAGATGGAATCTGATTATAAAATTGACGTGAAGACAGACAGAGAGATAGACTGATTAAAAACTCTGTGATATTTTAGGTTTGGAAGATAGGGAGTCAGACTCTGCAGGGATCTGGTTCTGGTTTTACTGACATCATTGTGTTTCTGATAAAAGTGAACGTATGAAGTCAGTGTGGAGTCTAAAGGCTGAGCTGATCTATGTGACACAATGAGGACGACTTCATTCATTCATGTATATATTTTTTGATTCATGTATATCTCATCTGACATGACAACCGTGAAAGACGTTGAGTTTGGGGTTTGGTCTGATATTTTCATAAATTGGTGATGTTTGTTTTGTTGGTGTTGTTGGTGGTGTTTGGGTGGTTGGTGTTGTTGATGTTGTAAGTGTTATTGGTGTTGTTGGTGTGGTTGGTGTTGTAAGTATGTTGGTGTTGGTGGTGTTGTAAGTACTGTATGTTGGTGTTGTTAGTCTGGTTGGTGTTGTTGTTGATGTAGGCGTTGTTAGTGTTGTTAGGGTGGTTGGTGTTGTTGATGTACGTGTGGTTGTTGTTGGTGTGGTAAGTGTAGTTGGTTATATTGGAGTTGTTAGTGTGGTTGGTGTTGTTTGGGTGGTTGGTGTTGTTGGTATTGTTCGCTTTGTTAGTGTCGTTGGTGTTGTTGGTCAATGGTGTTAGTGTTGTTACTGCGGTTGGTGATGTTGGTGTTGTGAGAATGTTTGTGTTCTTGGTGTGGTTGGTGTTGTGAGAATGTTAGTGTTGCTGGTGTCGTTGGTGTCAGTGTTTTGACTGTGGATGGTGATGTTGTTGTGAGACTGTTGGTGTTGTTAGTGTGAGGGTTTTGTTGGTGTGGTTGGTGTTAGTGTTGTTGATGTTGTTAGGGTTGTTCGTGTTGTTGATGTTAGTGTTGTTGGTTGTGTTAGTGTTGTTGGTGTGGTTGGTGTTAGTGTTGTTGATGTTGTTAGGGTGGTTAGTGTGGTTGGTGTTAGTGTTGTTAGTGTTGTTGATGTTGTTAGTGGTGTAAGTGTTGTTGGTGTTGTTAGTGTGATTGTTTGTGTTGTTGGTGTGGTTGGTGTGATATGTGTTGTTGGTGTTGGTGTTGTAGGGGTGGTTGGTGTGGTATGTGTTGTTGGTGTTGTAGGTGTTGTTGATGTTGGTTTTGTTAGTTTGGTTGTTAGTGTTGTTGGTGTTGGTGTTGTGAGAGTGGTCTGTGTTGTTGCTTCATATATGTAAATAAATAAATAAATAAATAAACATACATATATATATATATATATATATATATATATATATATATATATATATATATATACAGTGCATCCGGAAATTATTCATACCACTTCACTTTTTCCACATTTTGTTATGTTACAGCCTTATTCCAAAATGGATTAAATTCCTTTTTTTCCCTAAAAAATTCTACACAAAATACCCCATAATGACAAAGCGAAAAACCTTTTTTAGAACATTTTGCAAATGTATTAAAAATAAGACACTAAGCAACAGAATGTCAGTCACAGATTAGCATAGCAAGCATAAAAGAATAAAAAATAAAGAGAATATAGAATTGCAGTGCAAAAGGCAAGGTAGTAAAAAGCATAAAGGAAGCTAACCAAAGTCTGCAGTTCTTTATTCTCTTTATTTTTTATTCTTTTATGCTTGCTATGCTAATCTGTGACTGACATTCTGTTGCTTTTTTATTGTTGCTGCTCTTTTTATTGTGTACTGTAGCACTTTGAGATTTCTTGTAATCGGCCGTAGATCAGCTGTACACATATATGTATATATATATATATATATATATATATATATATATATATATATACAGCTGATCTACGGCCTGTTTATAACATTAACCCCTCGAGGGCTTCATCCCCTTCACCTCCAGCTCCTCCTCCTCTTCATCTCTGAGAAACCTGATCTTGGCCAATCAAGGATATTTTTACTGGATCAAACCTATGACTTCCTGTCGTTGAGAACAGTAATGATCCTCAGCAGCTCTGATGGAGGTTCATCAGATGAACACAGAGCTGTGGACGGGATAACGGGGGCAGGGGGTGATAGAGGGATGTAAGGAGGAGGAGAAGATGTGATTGTTTCTTCCTGAGGCAGCAGAAATGTTTCCTGTGAGGTTTGAAAGATCAGATTTTGATCAATAATAATAAAGATGACTGTCAAGCTCCTCAAAGAAGAGCTTTAAAACCAGCCTGAGTGTCTGTGAAAGAGTGAAGACTCTTGAATAAATAATTTCAAGGGGACCTGCCATAAAAATGTAATTTTTGTTTTTTTTTGTGTCAGATAAGGTCCTTATTATGTTCGTCTTACGTTGTAAATGTGAAAACAAACCATTACGTCGTTTGCATTCTGTAAAGGTTTAAAATAAAGGAACGAGTAAACCAGGCCAATTGAAAAAGCAGGTCGGTGTTGCGTTGCGCCGACCTTGCTCATTATTATTCACGAGCGCGTCCTCGGTGAGCCGTGCCCACTCTCTCGTTCTCGTACTCAGTCACAGCCAGAGCGAGACCCAGCTACCACTGTATCCGCTATGGGTCTCTTCCAAACGACCGGTGTTTCCTTGGGTTCACTGCCGGGAAAATGAACTTAAAGCTGGGCAGAATGAATGAGAAAACACGGCTTGAGATCTCCGGCTTCTTCCTCAACTTCCGCCTCCTCTTCGGACTCGGGGTCTAAAATATATGGTTTAATACCTGCCGTTTTTAGCCTTTAGCATAAGGTGACCAGACGTCCCTGATTTCCGGGGACAGTCCCCGTATTGGATGACCTGTCCCCGGCAAAAGCTGTCCCCGAAAATGTCCCCGTTTCATGAATGAGAGTAAAAATGTTGCGTGTGGGCTCGAACAACGATTATTAAAGTAGCCGAATAGGTAGGAAGCACAAGTTAGCAGTCCTGAACAACAGTTCTTATGGGGTTAATACAAGCGGCATGCGCTGCTACTAAATAGTACCGAGACTTTGTCTGTGATCACACAGCCCCTGCAGCCCCTGCAGCCCCTGCACCGCCGCCGCCGCATCGAATATCCCCGGATATCATTACAGACATCTGGGCACCTTACTTTAGCACACATTAGCATATGCTATTAGCATTAGCATAATAACAATGGATAAACCGAAATCCGAACCTCCACTGCTGAGCCAATCAGAGCACAGCAGGCTTCACAGCAGCGATCCAATCAGAGCAAAGCTCATTACCATAAATGTTAATGAGCCAAAACCAGTTGGTTTTCCTGTAAGGTTTTTTAGGCATACTAAAACAAACCATCAAATAACTTTTCAGCTAAAATTATGTTGCAAACATGATCAGAGGACATCAAGGATTATGAAAAAATGATAAAAATGGGTATGAAATTTTGGTGGCAGGTCCCCTTTAAATAAACTTGAATGAAATTAACTTAAAATAGATTTAAATGTAGTTTTTATTAGAGAGCTAGATTTAAACTTAAGTTTAAAACAGAAGAGAGAGAGTGAAACTTCTGAGAGACAATTTACAGAGAAACTGAGACTCATGCTTTCTATTGGAGGCTCAGCTTCAGGGGTCGCCCCCTGCTGGAGGTTTGAGGGAGCGCAGATTAATTCCACTTCTGTCTGTCTGGTTGGTGTTCTGTGTTTCAGACGTTTTACAGATTAATCACAGAATCGACATGAGAGGAGATTATATTCATATTCACTCTGTCTCTCTTCTCCTTCTGTTCTAATGTTTGCTCCTTAAAAACACTTAAAAACACTTAGAGACAATAGACACTGATGCCTTTTTTTCTTTGAGCTGCTTTAGTATTGAAACACCAGAACCAGAACCAGAACCTGGACACTGTTGTGTGACGAGTATTCCAGTCAGCTCACCTGTACCTGTCTCCCTCCCCGCAGACTTCCTGTCCCGCCTCCACCATGACGGACATCTACGGGTCGGCGGCAAACTCTCTGGGTCTGTTCAGCAGTCCGTGTCTCACCAAGGTGGAGCTGAGGCTCACCTGTAAGGGGATCCTGGACCGGGACACTCTGTCCAAACCAGACCCATATGTGGTCATCAAGATGCAGTCCCATGGACAGTGGGTAGAGGTAGGTCACCATGGAAACCACAGGAGTCCGGGGTCAAGGTGAGGGTGAGGGTGAGGATAAGGGTCAGGGTCAGGAAGAGGGTGAGGGTGAGGGTGAGGGTGAGGTTCAGTGTCAGGGTCAAGTTCAGGGTGAGGGTGAGGTTTAAGGGTCAGGGTCAGGGTGAGGGTGAGGGTTAGGTTCAGGATCAGGGTGAGGGTCAGGGTGAGGGTTAGGGTCAGGGTTAGGGTAAGGGTAAGGGTAAGGGTGAGGGTGAGGGTAAGGGTCAGGGTCCGGGTGATTAGTCGGTCTTCTCTTTCCAGTCTTGGGTTTCGGTCTATTAGTCTGAACTTTCCGGCTCAATTTCATTTCTCACAGATTGGAGGGGTGTTAGAGTCCAGGTTCTGGTCGCTGAATATTGTCTGCTGCTGCTCAGAGTCATGATGGTCCTGGTCTCTGTTGGACTCTGAGCTGCTGTGGTTCTGAGAGTCTGACCCAGTTCCCAGAAACACTGAGGATTTTAAGAAAACTTGAAGCATCAGGATCACCAGCAGGGAGGGGAACTGATCTGAGGAACCAACTGTCAGGTTCTCCATCAGGGCCCCCGTCAGGTTCTCCGTCAGGTTCTTAGTCAGGTTCTCCATCAGGTTCTCCATCAGGTTCCCCCTCAGGTTTTCCGTCAGGTGCCCTCTCAGTTTGTTTCCATCAGCTGCTCCTGGAGACAAACCAGTCCGAACATCTGTGTCTTCACACCACCCTCAGCCTCAAGCTAAGGTTTCCCACTGTCAGTGAACGTGTCTTAATGAGGTTGAAATGGACAGAAAACAGCTGAGAGGAGGCAGGGCTACAGCTAAGAGGAGGCGGGGCTACAGCTAAGAGGAGGAGGGGGTACAGCTGAAGGAGGAGGGGCTAAAAACGAGAGGAGGCGGAGCGTCAGCGGAGAGGAGGCGGGGCTACAGCTGAGAGGAGGTGGAACTAAGGCTAAGAGGAGGCGGACCACCAGCTTAGATGAGGCAGCTCTAAGGCTGAGAGAAGGCGGGCAACAGTTCAGAGAATGTAAAGCTACAGCTGAGAGGAGGCAGAACTTCAGTTGAGAGGAGGTGGGGCTACATCTGAGTGGAGGCGGCGCTACAGCTGAGAGGAGGCGGAGCTACAGCTGAGAGGAGGAGGAGCTGCAGAGAGTTAGCAGTTAGCGTCCACAGGGAGAATCAGAGAAAAGAACCCTGAATGCTATCTTTAACTCGTTTTCTTTTTTTCACTTGTTTTTAGTCTCACACACACAAAAAAGAAAAGAGAGATGATCCCTCAGGTTTCAGGTTCCAGGTCTCAGGTTGTTAATCGTCGGTCGGCTCCTCAGAGGAAACTCCGCTCAGTAATTTCTGCGAACATCACCTCCTCTGGCACCATGAAGGAACGCGGGCAATGCAACTGAAACCAAATCAGCCTCCTCCTGGTTAGCTGCAGGGAGAGTCTGAGACAGAGTTCAACTTTTTTCTTCATTTGATGAGGAAACGCTCGTCTAAAGCTCGGCATTTGTTTCATC